GCATAGTTCGCTTCTACATTTTATATAGCTGAATACATATATGGATACAAGCATAGCACAAATTACAATACTATATAGCTGAAACCACTTCTCCACCCTATCCAGCCTCTCGGCTGTCTAGGAACTCAGATGTACCCTCGATCTCTGGAATCTAATGCAAGTCTGACTTACAGGGTTCCCCGGTTTCTTTTAAAGGTAAATGAATATCATGCACAATAACGCGTGATCATGGCCCTGAACTTGTGTAATTAACAAAATGATTGGTTACTTTAAATCAAATGATGCAATTAGAATGATTCCACTCACGTGTAATTCTGGTGGTAAATGAGTGACATATGTTTTCGATAAATAACTCTTTTTTATGTAGCAACTGTCAATTACAGACTAAGTTGATTTAAGTATTTTAAGTACATATCACATATTATGCCAATATGTTATTTCTCGAGCAAAAATTATACTAAAAGTATTACAGAGGTTAAGAAGGCATCCGTATCTCCAAGCGACATAAGCCCACACCAGATATAGAAACCACTACCACAAGCTAGGGGTGACAAAGCGCGGCACTCTAAACTACTAGGTCACCCAAGGGATGGTAAAACGTAGCTGTTCGACAGATTCCATTGGTAATGAGATTAGTTACATTTTTAGGGGGTAGGGATACATGTTTCAGTATAAATCTCTTATATAATAATCAATGCAAATGATTTCGGATTTTTCTGCAGTTGGCATATTGTCCAAAGTTTAAAAAAATATATATATTCCTATTCAGCCTGCTTATCTAAAGAAGGAAAATAATTGACATTTTGAAAGATACATGTAAATTTTGTACATTTTCCATGAAATGGTAATAACAATTATATTTTTGAAAAAACAAAACAAATCCAAATTAAGAGTATTTTCTAAGCGGTTTGTTTACAGCCTGTCCAATTGTTTAATAAGAAAGATCTTTTAAAATTTTGAACAAAAGGCCCATGGACCTGAGATGCACCGCTGTACATAAAGCAGCATGTATGCTTAAAGAGCCATCATTTTAGGGGCATTCTTCTTATGGCTAATCGTACTGTGCATAAAATAATATTAAATAGGTATATTGTTTTACAAACCGGGCAATATTCGTCACTTACTTTACCTATCTTACATAGCTTTGTCTTTGACCATAATATATTATTTACAATTGTCCCCCGCCTTTCGAAGAAAGCAGGGGACTATTAAAATGGGTTCGTCCGTCTGTCTGTCTGTCCATCACACTTTTTGGGACACAATAACTCTCCTTCTACTTGACCTAGAATATTCAAACTTGTTGTAGGTGTTTATTAGGTCAATGCCTTAATGGAGTTCGAAGATGAGCATTTTCTGCTTAGGGTAAGTAGAGATAAGCAATTTGATTGGTTGATGCTTTGGGACACGATAACTTAAGTTCCAATTAAGTGAGAGTGATGAAACTTGGTGTATAGTTTCATTACATCAATACCTCGACTAAGTTCGATATTGAGTATTTTCTGCTCAGGGTAAGCAGAGGGATAAGCAATTTGATTGGCCGAGACTTTGGAACACAATAACTCTCCTTCTAATTGAGCTAGAATGTTCAACCTTGGTGTAGGCGTTTATGAGGTCAATGCCTTGAAAGGGTGCGAAGATGAGCATTTTCTGCTTGTGGTAAGTAGAGATAAGCAATATGATTGGTTGATGCTTTGGGACACGATAACTTTAGTTCTAATTAAATGAGAGTGATGAAACTTGGTGTATAGTTTCATTACATCAATACCTTGACTAAGTTCGATGATGAGAATTATCTGCTTAGGTTAAGGATCAATAAGCATTTTGATTGGTCAAGATTTTGGAACATAACAACTCTGCTTCTAATTGAGGTTGAATGTTTAAACTTGATGTAGATGTTCGTCTTGACTTAGTTCAATGATTAACATATCGAGCTAAAGCTAAGCAGAGATAAGCAATTTCCTTGGTCGATGCTTTGGGACAAGATAACTTTGATTCTATCTGATAGAGAGTGATGAAACTTAGTGTATAGTTGATAATCAGTTTGATTGCTCGATACTTTTGAAAAAAATAAATGTGCGATTAATTAATATGTGTCATCTATTTATTTGGAGATTTCGGCGGGGGACACCAGCCTCTCTGTTGGCTTGTATAATCTAAGTTAATACATGAAGGAAGTTTATAACTACAGAACACGTATTCCATAGGTGTATGATCATACACTCTATATTCATACTTTTGGGGCTTTGTCATATTGGTAACAAAAACATTAAAGATAAGATAAACATCAATATGCTTGTGTTAATAAAACATTAACAATAGAAATTTCATACAACTTATATGTAATCTATTATACTATTCAAAAAAAGTAGGGGATATTTGATTTTGGGGGCATAATACTAAAATATGCAAATGACTACGAAAAAAGTCACTATAGAACCTAACAGAAGAAACATTTCCAGTTACATGTGACGCCCAAACGCACCAATAGCTACCACATGGAATGCAGGTGATGCTTGGGATCATCATGGGGGTCCAACCCAAGATTTGCACGACTCTGACTTTGAATGTTACAGTCATTGTGGCATTGAATTCCAGGGTGGAAACATCAGTTTAATTGTTTTAGTGACCAGAAAACAAATTTTGATATGCGTCGGCTTACCCAAAATGAAAGGTTACGTGCCCTTGGCATGCTACAGATCGGCACAACACAGGCGGTTGTGGCGCGGACGATGAATGTTTCTCAGTCTGTCATAAGCAGGCTATGGTCCAGATACCGTGATACACAATCTGTACAGGACAGACCACGCTCAGGTCGACCAAGGGCGACAACTCAAGCCCAGGATCGATTTATCCGTACCTTGGCCTTGAGAAATCGTGTCATCACAGCAAATCAGATCAGCGCTCGTCTTCAAACAGACACTGGTGTGAGAGTGAGTGGCCAGACGATTCGGAATCGACTGCATAGGGGTCACCTTCGCGCCCGACGTCCTCGTGTGATCCCTTGTTTGAGAGATCATCACATTCAGGCAAGACGTCGTTGGTGTAGGGATCGTCAACACTGGGATAATCGACGCTGGAGCAATGTGATGTTTTCAGATGAGTCAAGGTTCACTGTTGATTTTTTGGACAGACGTAGGAGGGTGTGGCGTCGTCTAAACGAGCGCTTCCAAGACGTTAACGTCATCAGACATGATCGATTTGGGGGTGGTTCTGTTATGGTGTGGGGAGGCATCACTGTTGCTGGAAGAAGGGCTTTACATGTTGTTGCAGGGCGTGTTACAGGCCAGTACTACCGGGACAACATCTTGGCAGTCCATGTTGTGCCGTTCGCACGACGTCATGACCGCCGTTTCATCTTCCAGGATGACAACGCAAGATGTCACAGGGCCAGGATCGTTACAGGTTACCTCCAACAACAGAACATCACCACATTACCTTGGCCAGCACTGAGTCCCGACCTCTCCCCCATCGAGCATGTCTGGGACATGCTTGGACAGAGGTTACGTCAACGTCAACAACGTCCTGCCAATGTCCAAGAACTTGCTGCTGCGTTGCAACAGGAATGGGACAATCTGGACCAAAATGACCTTAGACGTCTCATTAGGAGTATGCCACGTCGGATCAAACAGAGGAGGATTTACCCGTTACTGACTTGGTTGTGATGCTGTGGTAACTTTGCTGTTTGACCCCGGGTATCATTTTACCCTTATAATGGTCAGTCTGTGCCTTACTTAGTCTAACGATCATTTGGAATAAATCGATGAATGTGAACTTCATTTCATTTTGTCATTTGTTTCTTCGTCAGTTTCATTAGGTGACTTTAATAACACTTAAAAATCAAATATCCCCTACTTTTTTTGAATAGTATATATACGCATGAATCAATATAAATAATTATTATCTCCGAATATCCCCAGTAAAAGCCGTAAGTGCGTTACTTTTATCATTAACTGACATATTGGAACCTTTGTCGTTATACAGATTACGATCATCGGAATGGTTTCAACATTAAAGTCAATGGTGGAGAATTACTATTATGTATGGAGGCTTATAACTACCATTCTTAATTTCTACTTTTCGCCCCTTTTAGTCGCAAGGTAGAAGTTAAGACAAAATGTGAGACGACAGCATGCTAAACAAACCAAAATCGAGTCGAAATTAGGAAATTAAGAAATAAACACACCGCGATAATAGCACCCCTCGTTGTGTTGTGACTTCTCCTTTTCTACTTTTATTTTGGCTTAGTGTGTTGTCGACTTTCGACTTAGTTATGTTTTTGTATTTATTCACGTCAGTAAAAATACAAAAATCAAAGGTCGCTAATATCGCCATCAATACTAGACTTTATCACACAGACCATTGCACGTGTTCAAATGTGACCTGGAATGTAGAGACTACGTTCAGGGATCATAATCCATAAGCCAATATCGAAAAGAACCGAGGTCATTTGGAGATAAGCCTATATTTCATGTTTCGTCAAAGGGACAAAAATTGTAACCTGTAGAGGGTGCACAAACAAATTGTGGACGGACGGACAGGGGCGTCGACAATATACGTCCACGTGAAAATGTGGGCGTATAAAAGTGGATAATCGAGGCTTTATTTATTATCTTAACAACGGTAGCAATGACAATCGGAGCTACACTTTTCTTCGGCTCAGGGTGAAGTAATTTGACTGAACTTTTTGAATATATTCCCTTTTCATTATCTATCTTTTATCTATTATAGCGAGATCTGTCAGTCCTTTATCTAATGTTACATAATGCTCCTTTAACTAGACCTAACAAAAAGTAACTTTAACCTCATTTCATTTTCTAACGTGACTAAGATTTCACTTGTCTGTGTGGTACATTTTTATATATTTCCGATTTGTTTCGGTATCGGTTTGGTGATTTATATGAATACTTTGTACGTTAAATGCACACCGTTAATATATAAAAAACAAATATAAAATATGTACTATTTTAATAATCTTATTGATAAAAAAGCTTCGTGGGTAATAAACAGTTCTGAACGAAAACGATGACAGAATAGAATTGGTATTACTTTTTTTTTGTCTAAAACACACAAGCAAAAAAAAAACAAATGTAAACTTTATTTCGACAAAAGCAGGCCTACTACAGATTGTGTGTGATACATATACACAGAGAAAAACACCCGAACGTTTATGCCCCCATGAGAAGTTTATAAGTTTACGTATGCACCCACGTAAATAAATATATGCAAATATATACAAGTGAAAGCAGCCAGTGCAGCACGTAACAGATCCGTTGTGCCATAGAAAGCATGTTTAGGTTATCAGCCATTGGATTGAGGAAAGTTTCAAAATCGCTGTGTCCACTGTCTGTACTTCACAGCGGGACCGCGACAACTCACTACAGCGGAATGCTCGGGTGTCATTGAGACAGATTGGGCGACCGTTGGGTCACCACTCCTCCGCCCATAATCGATTATTGCAAAAACATGAAAAGACTGATGTTGTAAAGGACCGTCAACGTTCTGGCAAACCTCGCAATACGTCAGCAAGAGACGACACATCACTACTGAGACTCGTGGAACATCATTGTTAGCGCCAAGCACTATGTTAAAAAGGAATGGTTACCTCACCACCACCATCCTTCTGGACTGTTCGTAATCGGGTTAAATCGGTTGGATATGGAACTACGAGACCCATCAGAAGAAATGAAATGAAATGAAATGGGGTTTAACGTCCTACTGTTCTGCTCCGATACTGGGCTAATGAAGACGGGCATACGCCATACAGTGTGCTATGAGGGAAATTTTGCCCGGGCAGCGGCACCATCGCCTACTCTTATATCGAATCCCAACTGCCAAGGGATCTTTTACGTGCATTCCAATGTATACACGGGACCTCGGTTTTTCGTCTCATACGAAGGACTAGACAGCTGTCCTTTTCAGGCCCTCTGTCCTGCATCACTGACAAGGGGGAACCACGCCGGAAAATCTGGATGAACTTTCTCGGCCAATGCAGGGATCGAACACCCGACCTCCAGGCTAGCGAGCTAGCGTCTTACCCACTTAGCCACGTGATCCCCCCCTCATCAGAAGACATCTGCACGGCTAGCAGGTTCCATGATATAACTGTAAGCGTCCACTGGTAACAGGTTAAGGTAACATTAATGACAAACGGTACCAAACAGAGATCCTCTTTAACAAGGCCAATGTTTATGGACATCAACCCTAGATCACACCAAGCGCGTGTCGTTTCGATTTTCTGCTTCAGTAGTCCACTGCTACAACACTACTGGTATCCATTTGAGCATATCTGGGACATTCTTGGGAGTAAAATACGTCAAAGGAATCGACCAGTGCAGAATCGTGACGATTTGGACAATCATAACATCGGATCAAAGACTATACTCAAATACTCTCTGTGTATGTAAACATCAATTTGTTTGGGTACAGTACTGATTCCAAGCATGACTATAATTATGCCCGAACATTAGTCCACTCACTATTATACACCGGCGCATTTTATAAGTAAAATAAAACATTAACAATAAATATTTGGTAATTAGATCTACAGATTATATATTATAGTATATAATATACGCATGAATCGAAAAATATATATTTATAAACGCCGCTGAAGATGATACATATTATTTCTAGTAATATAATACCAACACAGTTAAAACCCAGCTCTCTATGTATAATATTTCCTAGATAAAACAAAAATACCAAAAATTAAAAATACAAAACAAGCCCTATACAAAATGAGTAAATCAGACTTTTCTTCTCTTAAAATGTTAAAATACAGGATCCAAATGGACTATACACAGACCACCCACCTCCCGAGTAGAAATGAAATAGGGTTTAACGTCCTACTTTCATGCAGCAAGTCTTACCCAGTAGAAGCTGTGTGTACTCTGGCTTGATCATAATTGATATGGGCGTTTTAGTGATGTTTTTATTTTATGCCAAAATACATCTTCTTCGCCTTCATCATCCCATGAGATATAAGTAGTTGTTTTTAATAGGGCGTTCAATGACTTACTCATATTAACTGTTGCTATATTTTCTAGTAATACGACTACTATTGACTCTATACTCATATCTATAACTAGTTTCTGGGCTAAACTCATTTCAAACTGACACCATTTACTTCTAGCAAAATCATTGGACAAAACAACAAGAACTTTACGACTGTTCTCCATATGCTGTACAATATTATCCATGATAAATCTTCCAACTTGAAAATTTCTTTCATGGATACACAGTTTAATATTTTCACCATCTTCCATGATAGGTACAAGATTATCTCTAACCCAGTCTCTATCTTCTACACAGTACGCAACAAACACGTCATAAACAAAATGTTTCTCTGCAATATCCAATAACTGCCTAGGTCTGTATCTCAACATATAAATATGATATTTAATATGCCAGATATATTTGTAGATAACGGACATGATGAAAATAACAAAGATAAAGAAACACGTAACAGTTGTCACTGAAATAAAAAGTCCTGTGTTGTTCAGACATATTTTTTCAGTTATGTTGAGACAACTGTATCCCTTAGGATATTCAAAAAACTTGTCTGGTTCTCGATGAATCCACTGAATTAACCAAACTAATTCACAATTACACACGAATGGGTTGTTGCCCAATGCTATTATTTTCAGCCTTTCTGTTAACATTTTAGGCAACATTTTATTTGTAATAGTTTGAATTATATTGTCCGCCACGTTTAAGTCTTGCAAATCAATATTCTTTTCAAAGAAATTATCAGGCCATGATTTAATTCTATTTACACCAATATACAAATAATTTAGACGGTGAAGATATTTAGCTACAACATTGGGTATATTTCGTAATCCACATTCATTTAGATATAAGCTTTTAAGAGATTTCAGAGGGGCAAGCGCGACATTTAATTTTTCCTCATTTTGAACAAAATCATTTTTAGACAAGTCTAATTTTCGTAAATTATCACATCCATCGAAGGCATGTTCGTTCAAGTGATCAGTAGATAACATGTTTATTGACAGAATTAGGGTAAGAATTTTGCTGTTGTTGAAAGCACGGTCTTGTATAATTAACGGATCTGGACTCCCTTGACTGTTGATAGATAGCCAGGTCAGAGACCTGAAAGAATGAAAATAATCCGTTTTCAGAGAGACGATGCCGTTTTCATTCAAATTCAGGTATTCCAACTTATCCATACAGTTTAAGTTTTCTGGAAAAAAGTTATCAATATGGTTGCCCTGAAGAGTTAATTTCTTTAAAATTGGAAAAGAGGATTGGTGATCACAAAAGTTTGGCAAGTCATCCAAATTGTTGTTATTAATAGTGATGGACATTAGACTTTTAATAACGCCCGCTACGATGGTCGAAATTTTGTTATTCCCTAGAAATAACACCCTTAAGTATTTAATAGGTAGAAAGGTCGAAATATTAAACAATTTGATTCTGTTGTCAGACAAGTCCAAAAAGTGAACATTTGATAGATTTTGAAACACATTTTCGTCGATACTTTGAATGCTATTATGGCGTAATTCAATTATTCGTATCGTGTTGCTGATATTTAAAAACGTTGTTGAGTCGATATGAGGTAAATAATTATTTTTGAAGTTTATTGTTCTGATTCTCCGTGGAAATTTTGGAATGTAGGTTAGATTTGCATTCCCACAGATTGCCGTGCGATATGAACATCGACACAATCCTGTTGAACAGGCATCTTGAGCATTCACAGATGGTAAACAGAAAACAAGAATAACGATGACCAATTTCTTACGTAAGTCAACCATCATAAAACAGCGCCTGGAAAATAAAAATACTTATTTTAGAGACGGTTGACACAAGCACTCAAATCGTTTACTCTGGGGCCATTACTTAACCCTAAAAAGTTGCATTAACATGTGTCCTCATCTGATTTGGAACGTGCAGGATTTGTGGTCGAAAAGCAATTCGATGGGGTTCTTCTTCGCATAAATTTTAAACGATGCCCTGTATCATGTTTATAAGCTGACTACTGACAAGTGGGTATTGGGCATTCTAGACAATAAAATGATGGCCGAATGGTTAGCAAGTGCGCGTTGTATCATAAAGCCTGTCATTGAGTCAACTGGTGTGGTTTCGAATCCCCAGTTGTACGTGACAAGGAGTAAATGAAATGAAATGAAATTTAACGTCCTACTGTTCTGCTCCTACTGGGCTAATGAAGACGGGCATACGCCATACAGTGTGCTATGAGGAACATTTTGCCCGGGCAGCGGCACTATCGCCTACTCTTATATCGAATTCCAACTGCCAGGGGATCTTTTACGTGCATTCCAATATATACACGGGACCTCGGTTTTTCCCCCTCATCCGAAGGACTAGACAGCTGTCCTTGTCAGGCCTTCCGTTCTGCATCACTGACAAGGGGAAACCACGCCGGAAAATCTGGATGAACTTTCTCGGCCAATGCAGGGGTCGAACACCCGACCTCCAGGCTAGCGAGCCAGCGTCTTACCCACGTGATCCCCCGTTACAAGGAGTAGGGTCGCCTGTCTAACCTCGTGGGTTTTCTCCGGGTCCTCCGGTTTCCTCCCACTGCTAAAGACCCCTACGCGCAAGCGAATTATTGAAATAAAATTAAAGCATATGTTAGTCCCGAAATGACCTAGTTTGTGTCGAGTGGATGTTAAACCCCATTTCTCTCTCTCTTTCTTTAGGCCTGAAATGTTATATAAACTATTAATTAGATATTTATTAACAAAACAAGACCATATGGCATCGGATACTAGAGATTTTAACTAGATTAGAACGGTTCGCCATTTAAAAAAAAAATAATTTAAAAATGGGTAAGCGAGGCTAAGTCTCGAATATACCAGTGCCCTTGTTACCACAATGCACACAGTGCACAAAACTACAAACAGTTATAACTTGACTCAGAATGAAGTAATTTGAATGGGGGTGCACACTAAGCGATTTTTAGACCGTACATCGTGGGCGATTGTCACCAAACTGGTCGTTTAAAAAATAAGTTGTCGCATACTGTGCGCCAGGCGTTTACAAGATGCAGCGGATTTAAACTTGGGGATGGGAGTGCGGATGAAACCAAGTAAGCGTCCCTAAGGTTCACAAAATATAATAACAAAATCAATAATAATCAGAGAGAGAGAGAGAGATGGGTTTAACGTCGACTCGACACAAACCAGGTCATTTCGGGACTAGCATATGGTTAAATTCTATTTCAATAATTTGCTTGCACGTCTTTAGTAGTGGAAGGAAACAGGAGGGCCCGGAGAAAACCCACGAGGTTATAACAATCATAATATGAAATAACTTTATATGTCAACTTGAATATAGTAGTAAGTAGTTAAAGATACATTATGGGAGATTAAATAAGAGCTGGCAGTTTTCACTATAATAATTAAAAAATGGATAATGTAAAGGGAATTTGCTGAAAATTTCAGTCAAATTGATCCACTCTGAACCGAGAATAAAGCGATTGAATTTTGGGCCTAGCCCCGATCATTATTACTATAGTCGGTACGATAAAAAAATATAGTCTCGATTATCCAATTTTTTTTATTATTTAATCATGAATGAGTGTTGAGCAGCAGATCGGATCCTAATCCAGCTAGTAGCACAGGCTAGCGATGACATCGAGAGTTGATTACGGTCTGGATAAGTTAATTAATGTCTAATTAATAATTTAGATAACATTTCAGGCTTTAAAAAGACCTGCAATAGGCAGATTTAGCTCTTGCATAATGTATGTTTAAGTTGTTTATTTCAGTGACATGTTATACAAACATGACATGTGAAAATCAATATAAAATTAACACCCTGCCAAGTGGACCTATATGTCACTACATTAATTAACATACACAAATTACTAAGCGTGAGTCACAAATTTAGCAGACGCTGTAGATTGTATATGTATATTAATTTGTCATTATTTTGCATTTGTGTGAATTGTAAATCTGAAATCGCTTCATTAAACCAGTATTGCAGTACTGTAAGGAACAGTTTAAAATAAAATGTTTTTCATCTTCTGGAAAGTTCTTTGCACACATTTGACAGATTCGATCTTCAACCTTTTCACCTAAAAATCATGAAAGGGTAAAAACAGCATCTAAACTGAGCCAGGACTTATCACTTATCATCTGTTTGAAAACAATTGCAGTATATAATTTCTTTGTCGCGCATCGGATTCGATAAATATGACAATTCCTTGTTCCAACAGGCTTAGGAATGTACATGCCTTTTTGATCGCTTATCACCCAGGCTGCTTATATTTTGGTACTTTCTCCTCCATCTCGTATAACTGACCCAAGTGTAGCTGTCTGTCACGATACGTCTCAATATTTTGGACGATGTTACCCAACGTATGTCTACTCAAGTCGGTTTGAAACATATCATTGGGGGTACAGTCCAGTTTAAACTTATTTGTTTTAGAACACCCAGTATTCTGTACTTGTGGTTTTCACCCTAAATTGTGTTAGAATGAAACAATGATCTGGAAGTTGTTTTGTAGCTCCTGTTTATATAACATTAAACGATTTACATACACATCATGGTGTACAAAAAGGAAATCAACTACTAATTTACCAACTGCATCCCGACTAGATAATGATAAGCAATCCACTAATTATGGATTTATGGATGGCGCCTTAGATTTGGACCCCGCCCCTATTCGCAGCTCCTCGATCAGCTACTGGATATACCTCTATTAAAACGATAGAATAGAATATGTATACTATTACGCAAACAATATTATCTATATTTACTAACCTCTCTACAAATGGTTTAATCATGTCCGTGGTGTTTCATGAGTCATAACACACATAACTAATAGGGATGTTTGGGAAGGAAGATCAAGCTAATACACTGTGCTCATTCAATCCTGTTTACAAATCATGTGACCCACATATGACTTTCTGTTGTAAATACAATTTAAGAAGTAAATTATCTCACCCATTATAATGTAAAATAGCTTCAAACGCACAATTCCCTACACATATAATCACAGTTTGTATTGATATAAGTAATTATGTCACAACTATTGAAGAATGGGCCACTAAAATAGTTACCTAACAGTTTTTCTTTGTGGTAATGCGTTCCACATTTTCGAAGCGATATTTCTCATGATGTGCAGGATGCCAAGACATCACCCAGGCGAAATCTCGCCGTTTCACCTTTATTTCAATGGGAATTGGGTTACTATATGCTAAGCTATGTGCAGTACAGTTTGGTTCAGTTTAATTGGAAATGAAGAGAGTTATCGGTCCGTACCTTTTTGTCATTGTAAGTTGTTTGGGGTCTTATTAAAGACATTATTAATGTTCAAACAGGTTATTTATTAATTAAAATATAATTCAGTGACTATTTAGTCAGCCATCATTGTTTACAACTCTATTCTCATACTACAGCGCCACCTGGACACAGACCACTAATTATTTACTTAGGGAGTCAACTTGTATTGTCTATATGTATTAAACTATTAATGTCAACATCTCCCTTTTTATATAAAATAAAATTTTAAACACAAATTAAACTTCACTCAATTAAAGTAACAAACTAAACATGCAATATCCAATTGTTTTAAATTCACAGAACAAAATATATTTAGTTATCATAGTCTCTCATCCATGATGGTTTCCTGCTTACTCTTCCACTAGCAGTTCTCAATAGATTTGGTTCATTTATATCAGGTTGAATTTCTTCTTGTTGTTCATTTGGTCCATTTGGTTGATTGTGCTCTAGTTCAAAATTTCCTGGAAAGTTATTGTCTCCATTTTGTCCACCATTTTGAATTGTGTTGTCAACTGGATCATGATTAAGATATTGTTCTGTGTAGAAAGGTTTTAAATGTTGTCTATTTCTCCTTATTACTGAACCATCATCACTTCGTACCATATAAGATCTTGGACTGTTGTGTTGATATAGAATTTTACCAGGAGTCCATTTCTTTCTATCAAAATTCCAAATGCTGATTGATTGACCTGGTTGAAGTGGTTTCAAGTCAATTGATGTTTTGTCAAATTGTTTCTTTTGACCTTCTATCTTCTTTTCTCTTTCCTTTTGAACACCTATCTGTCTTGTAGGTCTTAGATATGATTTGGATATTGGTAAATTAGTTCGTAATCGTCTTCCAAATAATAACTGTGATGGAGTTTTCGATCCAAGAACTGGGCTGTCTCTGTAGTTTAATATAGCTAAATAAGGATCTTGTTTATCAGCTTTAGCTTTGATGAGTAACTTTTTAACAATTCCAACATATTTTTCAGCTAACCCGTTACTTCTTGGATAATGAGGACTCGATGTTTTGTGATTTATTCCCCATTCAGTTGAAAATTTTCTAAATTTTTCATTTGAAAAATTTGTCCCATTGTCAGACACAAGGGTTTCTGGAATTCCATGTCTTGCGAAGATGGATTTCATTTTTAATATGGTTTCTTCAGCTGACAAATTTTTCAACTGAGCTATCTCAAAGTAATTTGAATAATAATCAACTAACAGTAAATAGTCTAAATTATTAAAATGAAAACAGTCTGCTCCAACTTTTAACCATGGAATATTTGGTCTTTCATGTGGTTGAAGTGTTTGATTTGTTTGTTGATTTTTATATGTTTGACATATTTCACATTTTGTTACGTAATTTTCAATGTCATTTGACATGCCGATCCAAAACATACAGGATCTTGCTCGAGTAACACATTTTTCAAAACCTAAATGTCCTTCGTGTAATCGTCTCAGCATGTCGCTTTTCCACTCTTTAGGAATTAACAATCTATTATTTTTGTAAATTAAACCTTTAAAATTTGAAAGTTCATCGCGGAAGTTCCAATACGGTTTTACAGTGTCATTTAAATCATGACGATTATCTGGCCATCCATTTTGAATGATTCTACGTAATTCTAATTGTTCATTATCAGCTTCACACGATTTTTGAAAGTTATCTAACATTGTGTTACTAAATGGTAATAATGCATGTACCACATGCACATAATAATCTAATTCCTGATGAAACTTTAAATCTTCAGGTTTTGGGGGTTGTGGTGCTCTGCTTAATGTATCAGCTACTTTTAAGTCTTTTCCTGGTATCCATTCGTACTCAAAATTATACTTTTGTAAACGTATCATCAATCTTGCTATTCTCGGAGGTGCGGATGTCAATGATTTTGTAAATAAAAATTTTAATGGTTTATGATCATTAACAACTTTAAATTTATTCACACCATAAACATATTGATGAAATCGTTCTGTAGTAAATACAATTGATAACAGTTCTTTTTCAATCTGAGAGTAATTTTTCTCAGCATCAGTCAATGTCCTTGATATAAACGCGACTGGTCTGTTATTTTGTAATAGTGCACCACCTAAACCATATTGTGAGCTGTCACAAGTTATAGTAATATCTTCTTTTGTATCGAAGAATTTTAAAACTGGTGCTTCTGTCAACATTCTCTTTAGCTGTTGAAATTTTAGTTCATGGTTTGCTGTCCATACAAACACATTTTTCTCTTTAATTAAGTCTCTCAATATTGCAGTTTCTTGAGAAAGATTGGGTAGGAAATTAGCTAAGTAGGTCAACATCCCTAGAAATCTATGTAGTTCTTCCTTAGAAGATGGGCTTTTCATATTTACAATGGATGAAATTCTATCCGGATCAATTTTCTGACCATCTCCAGTGATAATTACACCAAGATATTTTACCTCAGTTTTATTCAGTTCACATTTATTTTTATTCAGTTTTAAGTTCATTTCACGACATTTGTCTAGTGTAGCTTTAAGTCTTTCATCATGAATTTTCTGATTTTCAGCATGTATCATTATGTCATCTACATAAGCTTCTACGCCTTCATGATTTTGAAATGTTTGACTCATAACACGTTGAAATACTTGACTAGAAATGTTTAAACCATAAGGAAGTCTTTTGAAACAAAAATTACCAAATGGAGTTGAAAATGTTGTTAATTTTGATGACTCTTCATCAAGCTTTAGCTGCCAAAAACTTTCGGTAGCGTCTAATTTTGTGAATATCTTCGAATTATTCAGCCTAGCAGTCATCTCATCAATGGTTGGCATCTTATATTGGTCTGATATGATGTACTGATTTAAATCTCTGGGATCTAAACAGATACGTAGCTTACCATTAGGCTTCTCTACGACCACCATTGCATTTATCCACTCGGTTGGTTCATTTATTCTCTGAATAATACCATTCTGTTCCATCCTATTCAACTCTTCCTTGACTTGTTCACGAATAGCATAAGCTATTCTTCTGGGAGGATACTGGACTGGTTTAGCATCATCTTTCATATAGATTTTAACTTCAGGCACATTTATACCTTTTATTGTTTTATTAAAAACGTCATTATATTTATTAAATATATCATTGTCTTTGTTATTTAAACTTTCTACTCGTTTTATTAAATTTAAATCTTCACAGGATCTCAGCCCTAAAACTGGAACCGTTTTATCTCGAATAACTATAAAGTTGACCAATTTCTTGTCATTCTTTATTTTAACCATAAGAATAACTTCACCAGCTATATCTAATCTTTGACCATTATAGGTAACTAGTCTTCTTTTGGTTGGATTTAATCTTTTTCTAGATATTTGTCGATAGACATGGTAGGGTAACACATCAGCTTGCGCTCCACTGTCTAATTTAAATTTAACTTTTCTGTCTTGAACACCAACTTTGGCTTCTATGTTCCATTCTAAGGTATCTTTACTATTGGTATTATTTTCTTTCACCATTGATATGTATAAATTATCTTCATCATTTGATTCATCAATAATTTCTTCATTTACCATACCAAGAAATAAATCTTCATCAGAATTGTCTTCAGTAAATTGGTCGACTTTCTTGGTCCTGCACATTTTACTAAAATGACCTAATTTATGACATTTGGTACAAGTTTTACCATATGCTGGACAATCATTATATTTATGATTGTAACCACATCGTTGACAAGTTTTGTCAAACTTCTTCTGGTTTGTTGGCTCATATTTATGTTTTGTTTCTGTATGTCTTCTATTTTCATCTTTTCTTGGATGATTATTTGTTTTTCTCCCTTTTTTACTAAAGGCATCAACGGTTTGGTGACATACTGCAGTAGCGCCTTCTTGACCTTTAGATGTCATTTGATTCATCTGTTTAGTTACATTTTCAAATGTCCTGCATTCCTGTATGGCTACTTCTAATGTTAAATTTTTATTGGTTAGTAATTTCTGCAGCAAGACTGGACTACTTATTCCTTCTACTATCTGATCTCGAACACTTTCGTCAGACATCTCACCATAAGCACAGCTTTTTACTTGTTCCTTGATTTCTGTCAAAAATTCATCAAAATCCCTTTTCTCTTGCTTTATATTTCTTAAAATATGCCGTTCATAAATAATATTTCTGGCACCAATAAAATAATCATCAAACATTCTGATTAAATCTTCTATTGAGGTTTCATTTTCACCCTCTTCTTTTATTTGGAATGTGGAGGCTATTTTCCTTCCATCTTCACCAACAAGATGCAGCAATCCAGACCTTTTAACATCATTTGGTTGATTCCTCGCTCCAGAGGCTGTCAGGTACAACTCAAATTGTTTCTTGAACGAAGTCCATGCTTCCTTCTTATTTCTACTATTTGTCAAATCTAATGACTTGGGAGGTGGTAGATTCTGCATACTTGCTGTCACTTTAAACTTCTGACACCATGTAAGTTGTTTGGGGTCTTATTAAAGACATTATTAATGTTCAAACAGGTTATTTATTAATTAAAATATAATTCAGTGACTATTTAGTCAGCCATCATTGTTTACAACTCTATTCTCATACTACAGCGCCACCTGGACACAGACCACTAATTATTTACTTAGGGAGTCAACTTGTATTGTCTATATGTATTAAACTATTAATGTCAACAGTCATCAAATGATGACACTGACGTGCTCAAAGGAAGTCCCTAAAACAATCTACTTTTGTGGCTTGGGCAAGACAAAAGACCTCAGTAGTGGAACTATTTCTATGGTGATCTCTCAGAATACTACCCATTCATACAAAGATAATGCGAAATGAATCTATTGAAAATTTTATTCTAATTACTAGTCTTTGCTCTGAGCGAAGTTATCCCTGTATGAAGTTTTGACAAGAAGTGGCATAGATTGTGTATTATCGTAGCCTCGACTCGCCATTTTAAATTAAATCATTAAATAGCGATCGTGTTTAATCCGTCAAACCTCTGCCATCCGATATCCTAGCGAGTTGATTATAGGCTTGGTATTGAAAAAAATATCTAAATAATAGTAACATTTGAAGCCAGAATAATGCATCTTTAATTGTTGATTGACTGACAGTGAAAGCCTGTGTTGACAATATAGTTAAAGAAACACAACTCCACATAAGCGACCTTTGAAATTGGATGGCCACAGATCACCAATAGTGTCTCCATTGACTTTCATGTTAATTCTGGTCTCTTAGACCCGCTCTAAGTTTTTCCCAAATTTTAGTTCGGTAGAACGCGTTCTACCACATATATTATGTAGCAACCTTTTGCTAAAAAGCATGTATGCGCTTCATCATGGAAAACTTGAGATACTCAAACTGGAAGTAAAGACAAGTAAACTTACAACTTTGCGCCCTACATTTCAACCTAGCCAACCTCTTAACTCTCGTATCCTTACGCTTCGAAATCACGAATATTCACCAAAATCTTGCATACAATGTATATTCCAGCCCTTTTCTACGATTCTACACAAAAACGTCAACAATGTTCGCCATGCAAAAGAAGGGAAAGGAAGAGAAAGACTGAAATAACTTTGGCCCTTTTTGTAATTAATGACTTGTTTGGGGCCTCTCAGTCTACAATATAAAAAACAAAACCAGAAATTGTCTCAGGTTAATGACATGGTTTGTTGAATGTATGAAAGTAGACCCTCTAAAATGCAACATTAACATCATTTTATATTCGAAACATGGCGGAAGTATATGCAATTAAGGTTACTATTATCTGTGTGGTACAGTTTTATGTATTTGTTTCGGTACCGGTTCGATGAGAGAGAGAGAGGGAGAGAAATGGGGTTTGACGTCCACCCTTCACAATCTAGGTCATTTCGGGACTAACATAATTATGGTCTTTAGCAGTGGGAGGAAACCGGCGGACCCGGAGAAACCCCGCGAGGTTGGACAGGCGACCCTACTTCTTGTCACGTACACCTGGGATTCGAAACCACGCCAGTTGACTCAATGACAGGCCTTATGATACAGCGCGCGCGTGCTAACCATTCGGCCATCCAACCCCCGTATCGGTTCGATGATTCATAGGAATTTACGTGTACTTTGTACGTTAAAGGCGCGCAGTTTATATAAATTCCAAGATATAAAAATATGTACTATTTTAATAATACAAAAAGCTTCATGGTAAATGAACAGTCGTGTACCAATCTGATTAAAATACAGATCCTATTTCGTTTCGTTTTTTTATAGTTCAAAATTTCGTTTTACTTGTCTTTACTACACTAGGATCTGGAAGAGTTGTTATATAACCCGCGTTTTGGTTGATGTGTGGGATTAGCCAATGAAACGGTCTGTTGTAGCGAGTTCTTGGCGTGAGATTCACGGAACTGTGGGTATCCTACTAGAAACATCAACGCGGATTGGTTAATCAAATGTCTGACCTCATAGGGTCAAAATCCGCTCGCATGACCCCTGATGTGACCTCCCACTACAACTGGTCTAATCTTCAAATAGAGACCATCGAAAGTGTAAAAAAAAACCCGAAACGAAATATAGATCTGTATTTTAATCAGATTGGTCTTGTATGAAAACGATGGCAGAATTAGCATTACTTTATTTGTCTAAGACACATAATTTGAAATAAAAAAAACGGCAATGTAAGCTTTATATTAACATACATTTAACTTGGACCAAATGTTTTCAATAAAAGTAGTCCTGCTTTAGATTTAAAGATACTTTCCCGTGTACAAACTGGGTGATTCGATGATATATTTGGACTAAAACCATATTCAAACTGATTAATCTATCAAAATTTTGCTTCAAATCCTTCTCAAAACACTGTTTACTCAGGGGATACCCCTGCTATAAAAAAAATCTATTAAAAGAGGTCATGTTTGTGTCACGTGACTTAGCTGACGACTACCTAGCAACGGGTGCAAAGTCGGGGGAGAATTCATTGTTGATTTTTATCTCAGAAAGTGTTGTATGTCTAACTCTTCATAAAGTTTATCAATATGTACATCAAGCGCTCAATCTCCGCGTGCAACCTTTGGCGTCACGCAGGTGGGTTGGATGGCCGAATGTTTAGCAAGTGCGCGCTGCGCTGTATCATACGGTCTGTCATTGAGTCAACTGGCGAGGTTTCGAATCCCCGGTTGTACGTGACAAGGAGTAGGTTCGCCTGTCCAACCTCGTGGTTTTTTTCTGGGTCCTCAGGTTTCCTCTCACTGCTAAAGACCCCTACGCGCAAGCGAATTATTGAAATAAAATTGAAGCATGTGTTAGTCCCGAAATGACCTGGGTTTTTTTCGAGTGGAAACCCTTAATTTTTGTCCTGTATGCGCTCCATGCGTGTTTTTTTTTCAGGGAATCCAGTATTTTTCCAGTAAGATTGGATATGTCTACTTCCCATTTCTCTCTCTCTCTCCAAAATTGCCATACTTTTATTGGAAATAAATATATTTCTGGGAACGCATCTTTTAAACTCTATATTATATAAACATCAGTTTGCTTGGGTACAGTATTGATTCCAAGTATCAATCTATTGGTGTCCAGTCAGTCTCCCACACAATACCATGGCGCATTTTGTAAGAAGCCAAAATATAATTGCTAATTAAACTAGATCTAAAGAAAATGCATGCTAAATTTCGTTGTGCTTAGTAACGATTAGAGAATACTTGCTATCCCTGCTACAAATCCTAAGTTAAGGCAGTGAATCGTCTAGTGTAGCCAAGCAAAAGCCCGTGTTACACATTTCTGCAAAACGGTCCAGAATCAGATTTGTAGCACTATCCCGTGTTTGACAGGAACAAATTAATGGCCTTAGTATAACGTCATGCTGTGTTCTTTTTTTGTATACTAAACAACCATGTTATTTGTAATATGAGTTTATATATCAGAATACATCACGATATAACATAATCCGTGTTCCATTCAGAACTTTCCTCTGGAAATGCTACATCCTGTCTCCCTAAGAACACCGAATGGTTCTGTTGTGGTCTCGCTTGTCAGGCTTATTGTATATCTCTAATATCCGCCGATGAGCGATTATTAATTATTTTATTTCTTGTTGGAAAAGACGCCTAGAGCAAGACGGGGGACTAATTAATTATAGATCATTTGTTTATGTAAACTGAGATGAGTGTGGTGAGACTTCCCAATCTGACAAAAGATGATTTGACATTCTTTTTGAAAACCCTTACTATGTTAACACTATTTGAGCTACAATTTGGAGTGAAGTTGTTAAATGTGAATGATATATGTACAATACTTTTTGAATTATTCCAGTTTAAATAGTGTACACGTTGTTTTCTGGGCTACTCGGTACAGTTTCTATGAAAGGGTAAGTTAAAATATACTTGGTTATGGTTGTGGATATTCTTACAAAGCACCATAATCGCACATCTCTTAGAGGCCTTTCTGGTGCAGTAGATTAGGCGCCACGGGTCAGGTCAGCAAATCTCTCCTTCCACTTTTACATGGTCATATTTGTTGATTATTTGACAGGTATTGGTTCACTAATAAACCTCATACAAATGTTTTGGTAAAGACATGGCTAATTATTGCCCTGTTTGTACTGTAATGTGTTCAGCCCAACAAACCTTTGAGAAAAGTTTAGAGCCGGGTAAATAAACCATGAATTCACATCAAAGTCAATGTGGAAATTAATGGTGGTCTGCGTTCAACACTAAAAGGAGTTACGTCCCTTTACCTTCTTTTGCATGTGATGTTCCCCAGTATACTTTATTTTGAAATGAATCAAATGCGTTTTTAGCTTCTTTAAGATCTTTTTTTCAAAAGATTGAGCTGTAGTCGACAAGGGATCACAAAATCAGTTATTATTTCTTTTTCCCTAAATTCAAAATCCAGGAAGTCCTCAATTTTATATTTGACTCAAATGTGCGAATGCGAAAAGTGATATTTAGAGAAGACAATCATAACTACCTAATTTGCTCTGAAGACAATGAAGTCAAAGATGACAGAGATATCGAAAATGACAATGACATTCCTGGGTGATGGATTCATAAATAGTAAAATTGATAGATTAATATTTGTTTTTATCGAAGACGATTATCATTTTGTCTGCAATTCCCGAATACCCCATACTGCTCACAGTGTTTCGTTTGATTAGACCTAATCCCACTCAACACTGCCATAACGAAAGCAAATTTCTGTTCCAAATTATGACTGGTCAATAGTCCGATTAACAACCATTACCTAACTGCGTAACAATATAATTCGTGTCTGAACAGAGCTTCAAATATGTTTACATAACGTTACGTCATGACTCACGAAATTTATTTCGTCCAATTAACCAGTGCATTGCAGCATAGGGCAGAAAGACTAACTGCGTGACAAGGGAGACTATCAAAAACGACTACAATGTAAACAATAGTGTTTGGAGACGAACAACACTGCCCAAAGTTTTAGAGAAGATCCCAGCTTAAATTAAGGGCTGTCAAGTTGCTGTACTTATAAGAGAGATTTGATTGAACGGAAAGAATAGACACTCTCCCTCAAAAGCTCAAGTATCAGAAGTTATCCAATCCAGCAATGGTCAGAGAGGGATTTATCGGGCCATTGCTTCAGGAATATGGAATATCTGAATCTTTGAACATCAATTTTCCCATTCAGAAACAAATTGTATATCAATACCTGTAGTGAAGACAATGTGCATGAGACATCAAAAATGGCAGTTGTATTAATTTCTTCACTATCGAAATGGTATTCTTTAATACCGAATCAATTTCACTTAGAATCCCCAACTAAGTTAACACCCTAGCATGCATATCACTGAAAACTGGCAACTGTTTTGTCGTCCTTTTTAACAGCTCTTTTATTAATGGAATGCATTAAATGGGCGAATAAAAAATTGGGAGTTTCTTTATTTAAAATTTTTATTTACCATGACAGGGGTGGATAACCTAAATTTCAAGCATGAAATATGCTCAAACAAGTTCTAATGATTAAAAAAGTGTGGGAGTATGTCACTGGGGGTAATTTCTGTGATAAATTACAACCAAGTATAATACCCTGTTCTGTATTTCTTTTCATGGTTAATAAAAAATATCCAAAATGATATGTAGTGTAGACATCGCTATGGGAAAATTTCTTATCTCTAACCAATTTACATACCTATACGATATGTACCCAAACATAGTGTATGCACAAAATAAAGGTAATAGAATAGAGGTTTAGGTTATTGTGACTACCGATCCATGAAGGGTTTAGTATGCTGATAAGGTCGTCTTTTGAACTTACAAACTTCCGTAATACAGCTGGGATAATAATTACATATCACGCATGACTTGTACTCCGATGTTTATTATTAGAACTATTTCTTTAACATAATTTTATTTTCTCAAATTAGTCTCAACACGCTGAACTGATACATTAAAATGTTTACAGTATAATTATATTTTATTCGATAACGTTGGGAGATCTTCAATGAAACGACGCTCTAATTAAAGTAGTAATTGTGTTCCATATTATGTTTTGTGCTTATTACGTGTGTCAATTGCTAAATGCCGCTCAAAGTCAAATTTGTAATGTTGGAGATGTAAAAATATGTCAAAATATTTACAATCTATTTATTTTACTGATACATTAGTGAAATGTTGGATATGTCAAAATGTTAACAATATAATTATCTTTTACTGATAGATTAATTAGTTGCATGTGGCAGTTATTGCAAAATGTTCGCAACATAATCATATATTTTAAAATTTACTAATAGATCATAGATGTGCATACCAAAATAGAATGAAAATGTTTTAAGGAATTTCGCGTTACCATATTCCATTTTTAACGCCCACATTTTTATGTGGATGTATATTGTCGTCCCCTGTCCGTCCGTCCGTCCACAATTTGTTTCTGGACATTCTACAGGTCATAAATAATATCTGATTTTGACAAAACTTGAAATATAAGTTTATCTCCAAAAGATCTCGGTCATTTTATCGGCATTTATCGGGCCGCTGATTGTACGAAAAATCACGTTTTTAGCTTGAGGTCACAAATTGTATCCGATTTTGATGAAACTTGACATGTATGTTTATAACCCATAGATCTCGATCCCTTCTGATATTAGTGCATATCGGACCGTGACGTCTTGGATTATAGCCCCTACATTTTTTTTTATCCGATTAAAAAAACAACAGTTTGAATATATCACCGTTACACCATATAGACGGTTCAGTTTAAATTTCGTGAAAATTTGACCGAAACTGCCCGACAAAATGGCCACGCCATTACGCAAATAGTGTTAAAAGTATGTAATATCAAGGTTGTGGACCCTTTAGAGGTCACAGTTTTGAGCTAATTTTGATGAAAATTAAAATATATATTTATATCCCAAAGATCTGAGTTCATTTCGATCTTTAGCGGAGCTTATTTCGACTGTAACTTCCTGGATTATGATCCCTGGTTGTACGAAAAAGTCTTCACAACACTAGGATCTGGAACTGGAAGAGTTGTTATACAGGCTGTCTAATTGATGTGACGAATTAGCTAATGAAGCGGTCTGTTACGGCGAGTTTGGAACAGTCGGTAAACCCCTAGAAACGTCAACGCTGATTGATTAATCAATGTCTGACGTCATATGGTCAAAAGCCGCTCGTATGACCCTGACACGACCTGCCAGTATAACGGATCAAAGCTTCATATATAGTGTAGGCCATAGAAAGTATAAATGAAAGGAAATGAAATGGAGTTTAACGTCCTACTGTTCTGCTCCTAACCTGGGCTAATGAAGACGGGCATACGCCATACAGTGTGCTATGAGGGAAATTTTGCCCGGACAGCGGCACTACGGCCTACTCTTATATCGAATTCCAACTGCCAAGGGATCTTTTACGTGCACGTCAATGTGTACACGGGACCTCGGTTTTTCGTCCCATCCGAACGACTAGACAGCTTTCCTTGTCAGCCCCTCCGTCCTGCATCACTGACAAGGGAGAACCACGCCGGAAAATCTGGATGAACTTTCTCAGCCAATGCAGGGATCGAACACCCGACCTCCAGGCTAGCGAGCTAGCGTCTTACCCACTTAGCCACGTGATCCCCCAGAAAGTATAAAACAATGAAACGAAATATACATCTGTATTTTAATCAGATTGCTTTTTCGTTTAGTACCAATTTCGTCATTCCAAATATTAAATTATAATGGTACTTTGCAAGAGATCTGGAAATGTATATAAAAACACAGTAAACCAGAGACATGTTTAGATATTAGTTTATTCTTAGTCTTCATCAGAAGATTCAAAATCAAAGTTCATAATATGCGCGGGATAGATATTTCCTTGATGTCTCTGAAACACTGTGTTTTTTTATCTACATTCCCTGATCTCTTGAAAAGTACCATTATAATTTGATATATTATTGAAGGACGAAATAGGAACTGAACGAAAAAGCTAACGAGAAACCATTTTTAAACTTTTAAGGTCTTACGAACCAAAATGATTTCTGTCCGCAAATCATTATTTAAATCGAAGTGAACTCATTTCCCGCTAATTTACCCCCCCCCCCCTTTCCACACAAGCATACCTGCAACAACCCACCCCACCTCGCCACAAATCAAAACAGTTGTCCAGGGGCATCATAAACACTTATTTAGAGATGGGCAGTCCTAGAAATTTATGTTTTATTAATATATAGGATGATAATTGTTTATGTCAACATAATGACATTTCCCCCAATTGTAGACATTGGACCCACACGTATCTCGAAAACGCCCCCTCAAACGCATGATCATCACACAGATACGGAATCTACGCGAAAAACTGGTCTAGAACAACTTGGTCTCATAAATTCACAGCTCGGCTGGCGACATCCCCCCCCCCTCCCCTTCACCCACCGGACTACACGAGTTTGGACAGGCGATCCCACTTCTTGTCACATACAACCGGGGAATCGAAACCACGCCAGTTGACTCAATGACAGACACGCTAACCATTCGTCCATCCACCCCCATTTTTCAATAAAAGTAGGCCTACTTTAGATTGTGTGCGATCTTGAACTTTAGGTATAAACTGTTTGGGCCTTAACAGAACAAATCATTAAATATACACAGAAGAAAGGGTATCACAAGACCCGATCGTTTATGCACCCAATAGAAGTTTATTACATAAATAAATATGCAAAAGTTCATTGCAAATTGTGACATATTCTGTTCTCCATAAATACAAGTGAAAGCTGCATGTCAGTGCAGCATGTAACAGACCCCTTGCGTCATGAAAAACATGTTTGGGAAAACAGCCATTGCATTGTGGAAAGTTTCAAAATGGCTGCGTACAATGTCTGAACCATGCATTTCATAAGGGTACTGCGGAATGCTCGGGTGTCAATAAAACACTGCACGACGTTCTGGTAGACCTTATATACGCATGAATCAAAATATATAAATAACATAAAAAATAAAAAAAAGGATAAAACATTAACAATATATACTTGGTAATTAAACTAGATCTAAAGATTATACAATATATTGTTATACGCATGAATCAAAATGTATAAATTTATAAATGTCACTGAAGAAGATACATATTCTAGTAATATAATACCAACACAGTAAACACACAGCTAGATATAAGGAAACATTTTTTAAAGTGACGGTTCGAAAACAACCGATGCTACTTCTACAAAGCTCACAATATTTCGTATTTAAAAAAAATACCAATAGAATGAATAAATTCCTGTATTAAATCTATCTTCTTTTAAAATTAAAAAAAAAACCCCCAAAACAAGCGCGCTATATGAAATGAATAAATTCCTACATCAGACTATTCTTTAAAGTCTTAATGTACAGGATCCAAATGAACAACACAGACCCCCCACCCCTTTCCGAGCTGCAGAAATGAAAACAGTTTTAACTTCCTACTTTTATGCAGCAAATCTTACCGAGTAGAATCTGTGTGTACTCTGGTTTGATCATAATTCATATGGGCGATTTACTGATGTTTTTATTTTATGCCAAAATACATCTTCCTCGCCTTCATCATCCCATGATATATAAGTAATTGTTTTTAATAGGGCATCTAATGATTTACTCATATTTACTGTTGCTATATTTTCTAGTAATACGACTACTATTGACTCTATACTCATATCTATAACTAGCTTCTGGGCTATACTAATTTCAAACTGACACCATTTACTTCTAGCAAAATCATTGGACAAAACAACAAGAACTTTACGACTGCTCTCCATATGCTGTACAATATTATCCATGATAAGTTTTCCACCTTGAAAATCTCTTTCGTGGATACACAGTTTAATATTTTCACGCTCTTCCATGATAGGTACAAGATTATCTCTAACCCAGTCTCTATCTTCTACACAGTACGCAACAAACACGTCATAAACAAAATGTTTCTCTGCAATATCCAATAACTCTCTGGGTCTGTATCTCCACATATAAATATGATATTTAATATGCCAGATATATTTGTAGATAACAGATATGATAAAAATAACAAAGATAAAGAAACACGTTACTGTTGTCACAGAGATAAACACTCCTGTATTGTTTAGACATATTTTTTCAGTTATGTTAAGACATCTGTATCCTAGAGGATAGTTAAAAAACTTGTCTGGTTTTCGATGAATCCATTGAATCAACCAAACTAATTTACAATTACACTCGAATGGGTTGTTGTCTAATGCTATTATTTTCAGCCTTTCTCTTAACATTTTAGGAAACATTTTATTTGTAATACCCTGAATTTTATTGTGCGCGACGTCTATGTCTTGCAAATTAATATTCTTCTCAAAAAAATTATCTGGCCATGATTTTATTTCATTCGCATTAATATTCAAAAGAGTTAGACCATGAAGATGTTTAGCTACAACATTGGGTATACTTTGTAATCCACATTTATTTAGATATAATCTTTTAAGAGATTTCAGAGGGGCAAGCGCGACATTTAATTTTTCCTCATTTTTAAAGAAATAATTTTTAGACAAGTTTAATTTTCTTAAATTATCACATCCATCGAAAGCATGTTCGTCCAGGTGTTTAAGAGATAATCTGTTTCTTGACAACCTCAGGGTAACTATATTGCTGTTATTGAATGCACGTTCTTGTATAATAAACGGATCTGGATTCCCTTGGGCTTCGATAATTAGGCAGGTTAGAGACTTCAAAGAATGAAAATAATCCGTTTTCAGGGAGACAATGGCGTTCTGACTCAAATCCAGGTATTTCAAATTGTTCAAACAGTTTAAGTATTCTGGATTAAAATTATTAATATAGTTGCCGTGTATATGTATTTCCTTTAAATTTGGAAAGGAGGTTTGGGAATCACAAAAGTCTGGTAGGCTATCAAAATTGTTATTATTAATAAAGATGTATTCTAGATGTGTAATAACAGCTGTTCCGATTCTTGATATATTGTTATACCCTAGATTTAATTCTCCTAAACGTTCAATTGATCGAAAAGTTGAAATATTAAAGTCTTTGATTTTGTTGTAAGATAAGTCCATTTTTATTACGTTCTGGGACTTAAAGTCATCAAAAACGTCAGATGGAATAGCTTGTAAACGATTCTTCTTCAATGATATTTTTGAGAGTCGGCTATTTTTCTGGACACCAGAGAATAGGTTCCGTAAGGAATCTGAAGTCAGTAGATTATCAGATAAGTCCAATGAATGAACACGAGATAGATTTTGAAACACATTTTCGCAAATAGTGTGAATCTCGTTATGGCTTAATATAATCTTTATTATGCTCACGTTGCTGATATTTAAAAATGTAGTTGGTCCGATATCACGAAAAGAATTATTCATTAAGTTGATTGTTGTGATATTCCTAGGAAACTTTGGAATGTAGGTAAGATTTTTATTTTCACAGTGTGCTGTAAACTTTGTACACCGACACAATCCCGTCGAACAGGCATCTTCACCATTCACAGATTGTACACAGAAAACAAGGATAACGACCATCAACATCGTATTTGGCCCAACCATCAAATGGGGAATCTGGAAAAAAAAAACACACAAAAAAACTTGTCACGCAAAGCGTGGGAATACGTCCGCACTTCAGCTTATCAGACATGAAAACTTGCATGATGACCACAATTGATAAGGCTGCCTCAACGAAATCTGATCTCTATCATGTTCACAAGCTTTAAAAAATTTGGTAAAAACAGTAACCTATATCGTGTTGACAGGGTTTTCAGAGAAAGGGGAAGAACTCCATAACGGAATTTTTAGAGCGTTCGTCCTATCCTATACAATCCCAGAGATAACGTTACCCTTCGTTATAAAGCTCCGCCCCCATTGGCTACTGATTGGCAGGGATTCGTTGCATGAGTTACATACTAATGATCCTTGGAACATTTTCCACATCTTGATATCAAAAGTTCATTTGAAAACAGCCGATTTGATGATTTAGAATGAACTATTTTTATCGCGCAATGTGAATGATTAGGCTAAACCAGTAAGTAAACAAAGACAGTCATGTCATTTCAACTTCATCTGATATTTTAACAAAGTTTTCGGAAAAGGGGGAATAACTTTGTAAAGAAAAGTCGCGAAGCGCTGAAAATCGATATGGATAGTCCTCTCGTAACCCCATTGCTGCATAAGAAGATTTAAAAAAAAAAACAATCCGTAAAAAACTGTAGCCTGTTAAGTTAACGAGCCAATTGACATGGGTGGCGACATACTACGCCCATACTTAAATGTGGTTTTACTAAAAATCCGTTACAAAGTATAGCCTTATCGCGTTCACATGGTTTTCAGCAAATGGAAAATCGCGCAAATTTACCAAATTTGTAATAAAATCCGTTAGTGTCCATAAAGGGGGCATAACGTTTGATACGAAAGGTCGCGGAATACCAAACACTGTAGTTGCTATCGCGTGGAAAATCCAATCGAACTGCTTACCTTGTGTTGTAAAATTCTTCCATATGGGCAGGTCACTCCTGGTTGAAATTGAATGGGATCCTAATGAGCAATCCCACTGAATGTTTAAAAAGAACTCTATCAAAATGTGCCCTGTATCGTGTCCCAATATTTAGAATGAGAGATAATTCCACAATTTGTGATCGAATTCTTTAAAAACCAGCGGCTGCCAGGCAGGATACGCCCACATTTTCGAGAGATGGATAGAAAACAAGCTAAAACGAAAGTGATTATTCCTAAAATCAAGGGCCATAATTCAGGAAATTACAATTCCATATGCGCAAATATCGAAAGGAACCAAGATCTTTGGGTTATAAACTTACATTTCAAGTTTCAACAAAATCGGATAACCAGCGGCTGCCAGGCAGGATACGCCCACATTTTCGAGAGATGGATAGAGAACAAGCTAACAAGAAAGTGATTTTTCCTACAATCAAGGGCCATAATTCAGGAAATTACAATTCGATATGCGCATATATCGAAAGGAACTGAGATCTTTGTGTTATAATCTTACATTTCAAGTTTCAACAAAATCGGATAAAAATTGTGACCTCTATAGGGTCCACAACCTTGATATACCATATTTTTACGCTATTTGAGAACGAACGGCGGCCATTTTGTCTGTCAATTTTGGCCGATTTTACGAAATTCGAACTCAGTCGTCCTTAGAGTGTAACAGTGATATAATAATATGATTTTTTAAATCGGATAAAAATTATGACCTCTATAGGGTCCACAAGCTAAAAACGTGATTTTTCGTACAATCAGGGGCCATAATTCAGGAAGTTACGGTCCGATATGCGCGAATATTGAAAGGAACCGAGATCTTTGGGTTATAAACTTACATTTCAAGTTTCAACAAAATCGGATAAAAATTGTGACCTCTATAGGGTCCACAACCTTGATATACCATATTTTACGCTATTTGAGAACGAACGGCGGCCATTTTGTCTGTCAGTTTTGGGCCGATTTTCACGAAATTCGAACTCAACGGTCCTTAGGGTTTAACGGTGATATAATAATACGGTTTTTTAAATCGGATAAAAATTATGACCTCTATAGCGTCCACAAGCCAAAAAACGCGTTTTTGCGTACAATCAGGGGCCATAATTCAGGAAGTCACGGTCCGATATGCGCGAATATCGAAGGGAACCGAGATCTTTGGGTTATAAACTTACATTTCAAGTTTCAACAAAATCGGATAAAAATTGTGACCTCTACAGTGTTCACAAACCAAAAGCGTGATTTTTCGTACAAACAGGGGCCATAATCCATGAAGTTATGGTCCCATAGATGCCAATATCGAAAGGAACCGAGATCTTAGGGTGATAAACCTATATTTCAAGTTTCATTGAAATCGGATAAAAATTGTGACCTGTAGACTGTTCACAAACAATTGTGGACGGACGGACAGGGGCGACGACAATATACGTCCACATGAAAATGTGGGCGTATAAAAATTTGATAATGTTCCTCCTCAAGCTCGATAAACTTTGTCCTGTATCATGTCCCTGGCTATCCCTAACAAATGGGAATTAAGGGGATATTATAGTCGAGAATCCAATTGCCTGCAGCATCTATTAGCCTACGTTCAATTTCAGTATCCTGGGATATTGGTAGAACTGTCATAAGACAATAAGAGATTGTACAACAGTGAATTTGCCACGTGAAGTTAGATTTCGTTGACTCCATGTTTGATTTTTTTAACTTGAGTATACCAGTTCATATTTCTAGAGTATATAGTGCTTATTCGGTCCAAGAAATACACCTAGAATTAACATGCATTACTAAATATAATCTTAATCCATGACAAAACACAAAATACTTCAATAAGGTAAAAAGATAATTGTGACTAACTCTATCAACGGGTTTTTCTTCATCAAGTTTCATTACAAAACCATTCTTGTTTTCGAAATCGACATAGTTGATTATATCTCTTATACTTGCACTATTCTCAGCAATATATCGCCCGGGTGCACGACATGTTAGCGCTTTAGAAACAAGTTTACGGAGCACCGTTTGCAGCCTTAGGGCCAGACACCTGTATAATCCGTTTGGAGGTGGGATATGGGTCGGAAATTTTCCAGCTGTCGCTTATCTCCCTTATCCTTATAAATTACACATATTATACCATCACCTATTCATCGGGACAAGCTCCCTTTCGTGAAACATGAATTTAGCATATATATTAAGCTTTCGATGAATATCCGCGATTTTGAGACGGAGGGAAAAGAGTGACAAGAGGTTGGTTAACCTCTTGAAATGCATGGTTACTTGTATGCTACTTCTAGTTTGTGTATCTCAAGATATCCATGGTGAACCCCATACCTGCTTTTTGGGTGAGAAATTGCAATATGTTGCTGCATCTGTGGTAGAAGGCTCTCAACTCCACGAAAACTTGAGAAATAGTTAGAGCCGACCAAAGAGACGAGAATTAACATTAAAGTCAATAAGAAAGCTAATGGTGATCTGCGGCAAAATAAGCATGGCTGATAGTCGCATTATATTTAGCTAAACAAAATCGTCTTTGTGTGTTACTAACTAGTATTTAATTTACACAAATGAGACCCCAATCAAGTCACAGTCAGCGGACATTATCCCAGATTAGTGACACGGTTTGTTGAATGTATTAAAGTAGACCTAATAAAACGCAACTTTAACTTCCTTTTATTTTCTTACGTGAAAAATGGCGAAAGCACCTAGCTGCTACCGAGGTTACAGTTGTATGTTTTTCCGATTTGTTTTCGTATCGGTTCGGTGATTCATATGGATATACCGGTATGTGTACTTGTAACTTAAAGGCACGCCGTTTATAAATATCTCAAACTATAAAATGAGTACTATTTTAAACATAATGAAAAAACAATAGTAGAATTAATAACTTTATTTGTCTAAAATACTTCAGATTGTGCATGATCTTAAACCCTGAATTCATACTTTTGGGGCTTTATCGTATCAGTAAACAAAGAAATTAGATAAGATAAACATTAATATGCTTGTGTTAATAAAACATTAACAATAGAAATTTCATACAACTTATATGTAATCTATTATATAGGCATGAATCAATATTAAAAATTATAAGCTCCGAATATCCCCAGTAAAAGCGTATGTGCGTTAATTTGATCATTAACTGACATATTGGACGCTTTGTCGTTATAAAGATTAAGATTATCGGAATGGTTTCAACATTAAAGTCAATGACTGAGAATTACTATTATGTATGTAAGCTTATAACTACCATTCATAATTTCTACTTTTCGCCCCTTCAGAACGCGAAATTCGAAAAGTAGAAGTTACGATAAAATGTGAGACAACAGCACGCTGCACAAGCCCAAATCGACACGAAAATTGAAAATTAAGAGATAATAGCTAGTATAACGTGTTGTTTTTCGACTTGCATTTATTTTTGTGTAGCGTGATGTCGACGTTCGACTTTGTTATATTTTTGTATGTATTCATGTCAGTAAGTAGGCGCAAACACGCGTACCAAGTCAAAATGCAGCTCGGAAAGTAGAAATTAGTAAATTAACACATCGCGACTACAACAACTTCCGAGGCGAAACTCAAAAAGTCGACAGCATGACAGCAAGTCAAATGATAGGTCGTTAATATCGCGGTGTGTTAATTTCCTAATTTCTACTTTTCGAGTTGTACTTGGCTTGGTATGCGTGTTGGTGCCTTCTTACAGTCATGAATAAATACAAAAGTATAACAGAGTCGAACGTCGACATACGCTTCACAAAAATAAATGCAAGTCGAAAACTTGAAGTCACGACAAAAAGGAGGGGCGCTATTATCGTGGTGTATTTATTTCTTAATTTCCTATTTTCGATTCGATTTTGGAATGTATAGCGTGTTGTCACCTCGCATTTTGTCGTAACTTCTACTTTTCGATTTTCGCATTCTGAAGGGGCGAAAAGTAGAAGTTACGAATGGTAGTTATAGGCTTTCGTAATTATGTGTATACATGTGTAAGACGATGAATAGTTAAACATTATGCAAAACGGAAGACGCACAATCATTCAAGTATAGGCCTACTAAGGTTATACAACTATCTGTGTGGTACAGCTTTACGTATCTTACATATGGGAAGTTGGATTTGTTTCCGTATTAGTTTGATGATTCACATCAATATGTATATGATCTTAAACTCTGTATATTTAACTTGTTTGAGCTTTAACATTATATTGTTGATAAAATATATAAACATCAATAGGCATGGGTACAGTGCTTATTCCAAGAATAATTATATTTATGTTCAAACATTGTCCCACTCGATACGCATTTTATAAGACGCCAAAATATCAGATAAAACATTAACATTATATACTTGGAAATCAAATTAGATCTACAAATTATATATTGTATTATTACATACGTATCAATTTTGTTATAAGAAACAGAAACAAAAGATAAAACATTAACAATAAAAAGTAGATCTAAATATTATCTTACACTTTATAAGAAGCCAAAATATAAAATAAGCTGTTAACAATGTATAATTGGAAATCAAAGCAGTTCCATAGAAAATTCATATTGATTTTATAGAAAATTCATATTGATTTTATTGAAAATTCATATTGATTTTATATATTATTCTATCAGTTTTCTAATTATATAACAACAAAATAAAACACATCTGTGTATATAAGAAAACGTTTTTTAAGTGAAGGTTCTAAAACAAACGATACTACTTCTTCATTGTTAACAATATTTCGTAGATAAAAAAATATCAATAGAATGAATTAATTCCTACATCAAATCTATCTTCTTTTAAAATAAAAAAAAAAATCCCAAGCGCTATACAAAATAAATAAATTCTTACATTAGAGTTTTCTTCTTTTAAAGTCTTAAAATACAGGATCCAAATAAACCACACAGACCCCCTCCCACTTTCCGCGTAGAAATGAAATCGGGTTTGACGCCCTACTTTTATGCACTGTCCCCCCCCCCCCCCAACCCCCGAGTAGGAGCTGTGTGTACTCTGGTTTAATCATAATTCATATGGACGATTTAGTGATGTTTTTATTTTATGCCAAAATACATCTTCCTCGTCTTCATCATCCCATGATATATAAGTAGTTGTTTTTAATAGAGCGTCTAATGACTTACTCATATTAACTGTTGCTATATTCTCTAGCAATACGACTACTATTGACTCTATACTCATATCTATAATTAGCTTCTGGGCTAAACTCATTTCAAACTGACACAATTTACTTCTAGCAAAATCATTGGACAAAAAAACAAGAACTTTACGACTGTTCTCCATATGCTGTACAATATTATCCAGTCCTCCACCTTGAAAATCTCTTTCATGGATACACAGTTTAATGTTTTCACCCTCTTCCATGACGGGTAAAAGACTACCTAAAACCCAGTCGCTATCTTCTACGCAGTACGCAACAAACACGTCATAAACAAAATGTTTCTCTGCAATATCCAATAACTCTCTGGGTTTGTATCTCCACATATAAATATGATATTTAATATCCCAGATATATATGAAGATAACAGATATGATAAAAATAACAAAGATAAAGAAGCACGCAACAGTTGTTACAGAGATAAACACTCCTGTATTGTTCAGACATATTTTTTCAGTTATGTTGAGACATCTGTATCCTAGAGGATAGTTAAAAAACTTGTCTGGTGCTCGATGAATCCATTGAATTAACCAAACTAATTCACAATTACACACGAATGGGTTGTTACCTAATGATATGAATTTCAGTCTTTCTCGTAACATTTTAGACAACATTTTATTTGTAATAGTCTGGATTAAATTGTCCGAGACATCTAATTCTTGCAAATCAATATTATTTTTAAAGAAATTATCTGGCCATGATTTTATTTTATTCAACCTAATATACAAATACCTTAGATCATGAAAATGCTTAGCTACAACATTGGGTATAATTCGTAATCCACATCCATTTAGATCTAATTTTTTAAGAGTTTTCAGAGGAGCAAGCGCAACATTTAATTTTTCCTCATTTGTAAAGAAATAATTTTTAGACAAGTGTAATTTTCTTATATTATCACATCCATCGAAAGCATGTTCGTCCAGGTGTTTAATAGATAATCTGTTCCTTGACAACATCAGGGTAACAATGTTGCTGTTATTGAATGCACGTTCTTGTATAATAAGCGAATCTGGACTCCTTTGGGCTTCGATAGATAGCCAAATTAGAGACTTGAAAGAATGAAAAGAATCCGTTTTTAGAGAGACAATGGCGTTCTGACTCAAATCCAGGTATTCCAAATTTTTGATACAGTTTAAGTGTTCTGGAATAAAATTACCAATACGGTTGCCTTGTACTTGTATTTTCTGTAAATTTGGAAAGGAGGTTTGGGGAACACAAAAGTCTGATAAGCTATCAAAATTGTTATTATTAATAGAGATGTATTCTAACTGTGTAATAACAGCTGTTACCATTTTCGATATATTGTTATACCCTAGATTTAATTCTCCTAAATTTTTAATTGATCGAAAAGTTGAAATATTAAACTCTTCGATTTTGTTGTTAGATAAGTCCATTAATATTCTATCCTGGGATTTAAAGTCATCAAAAACGTCAAATGGAATAGCTTGTAAACGATTCTTCTTCAATGATATTTTTGAGAGTTGGCTATCATTCTGGACACTAGAGAATAGGTTCCGTAAGGAATCTGAAGTCAGTAGATTATCAGATAAGTCCAATGAATGAACATGAGATAGATTTTGTAACACATTTTCGCGAATAGTGTGAATCTCGTTATGGCTTAATATAATATTTACTATGCTTGTGTTGCTGATATTTAAAAATGTAGTTGGTCCGATATCACGAAAAGAATTATTCGTCAAGTTGATTGTTGTGATATTCCTAGGAAACTTTGGAATGTAGGTAAGATTTTTATTATAACAACGTGCTGTAAGCCTCGTACACTGACACAATCCTGTTGAACAGGCATCTTGACCATTCACAGATTGTAAACAGAAAACAAGGATAACGATGACCAACATCATAAAGTATCGACTGGAAAATAAAAATATTTATTGTAGAGACGGTTGACACAAGTAATCGAATCATTTGCTATATACCTTGGGGTCATATCTTACACCCAAAAGAGCAATCCCCACGGAATTCCATCAAATGTGGTAAAGAAATGGTTCTCCTCTGCCTACAAATCAGTCAGGAAGCTTTCGTTTTTATCAGTCCGTAATGCCTCGTTAACCGTTTAAGAAGTCATATTGTGTTTTTATTTCACATGAGAAAAATAACAAAAAATGATCATGACTTCTTAAACGGTTAACGAGGCATTACGGACTGATGAAAACGAAAGCTTACTGACTAATTTGTGGGCACCGGAGAACCATTTCTTTACGACATCGCAAGTCCAGAATACTCAAAGTAAGACGACTACATCACCACCCCATTATCGTATACCAAAACAATCTGAATTGAAGTTTTCGACGAAAATGCAGCCAGTTTGTATTTTTTTTTTTTTGTGTGTGATCGCTAAAGAATATTAGGAAACAAAACCACCGAAAACATGTCTCAAAGCCGTTTGGCGAATTATAACTGTATATCAGATAAAAAAATCCTCCTGATAGCATTTTATTAAAGCCTTCTCTAGGCTTAGTAAACATTTATTACAATAGGGGTTACACGGATAACCCCTATTGTAATAAATGCCTTTTACTATACCAATAAAATCGACACCTAACTTTAAAATTCTATGGATTTTGATCACCATATCCGTATCAATATATACTATTCAAAAAAAGTAGGGGATATTTGATTTTTAAGTGTTATTAAAGTCACCTAATGAAACTGACGAAGAAACAAATGACAAAATGAAATGAAGTTCACATTCATCGATTTATTCCAAATGATCGTTAGACTAAGTAAGGCACAGACTGACCATTATAAGGGTAAAATGATACCCGGGGTCAAACAGCAAAGTTACCACAGCATCACAACCAAGTCAGTAACGGGTAAATCCTCCTCTGTTTGCCAAACAAGCATTGATCCGACGTGGCATACTCCTAATGAGACGTCTAAGGTCATTTTGGTCCAGATTGTCCCATTCCTGTTGCAACGCAGCAGCAAGTTCTTGGACATTGGCAGGACGTTGTTGACGTTGACGTAACCTCTGTCCAAGCATGTCCCAGACATGCTCGATGGGGGAGAGGTCGGGACTCCGTGCTGGCACAACATGGACTGCCAAGATGTTGTCCCGGTAGTACTGGCCTGTAACACGCCCTGCAACAACATGTAAAGCCGTTCTTCCAGCAACAGTGATGCCTCCCCACACCATAACAGAACCACCCCCAAATCGATCATGTCTGATGACGTTAACGTCTTGGAAGCGCTCGTTTCGACGACGCCACAACCTCCTACGTCTGTCCAAAAAATCAACAGTGAACCTTGACTCATCTGAAAACATCACATTGCTCCCGCGTCGATTATCCCAGTGTTGACGATCCCTACACCAACGACGTCTTGCCTGAATGTGATGATCTCTCAAACAAGGGATCACGCGAGGACGTCAGACGCGAAGGTGACCCCTATGCAGTAGATTCCGAATCGTCTGGCCACTCACTCTCACACCAGTGTCTGTTTGAAGACGAGCGCTGATCTGATTTGCTGTGATGACACGATTTCTCAAGGCCAAGGTACGGATAAATCGATCCTGGGCTTGAGTTGTCGCCCTTGGTCGACCTGAGCGTGGTCTGTCCTGTACAGATTGTGTATCACGGTATCTGGACCATAGCCTGCTTATGACAGACTGAGAAACATTCATCGTCCGCGCCACAACCGCCTGTGTTGTGCCGATCTGTAGCATGCCAAGGGCACGTAACCTTTCATTTTGGGTAAGCCGACGCATATCAAAATTTTTTTTCTGGTCACTAAAACAATTAAACTGATGTTTCCACCCTGGAATTCAATGCCACAATGACTGTAACATTCAAAGTCAGAGTCGTGCAAATCTTGGGTTGGACCCCCATGATGATCCCAAGCATCACCTGCATTCCATGCGGTAGCTATTGGTGCGTTTGGGCGTCACATGTAACTGGAAATGTTTCTTCTGTTAGGTTCTATAGTGACTTTTTTCGTAGTCATTTGCATATTTTAGTATTATGCCCCCAAAATCAAATATCCCCTACTTTTTTTGAATAGTATATAAAAGTACTGGTATGCCCTTATACTGTATAGAATATTATGAAACAAAACCACTGAAAATAAACATGTCTCAAAGCCATTTGGATATTATTAAAATGGAATATCAACCCCTATTGTAACTGCAATGATATTTAAATAAACGTAAAGTATGTTCTCTGAAAATTATGTCCTCTGAGGATTTTGAAAATATTGTAATATCAACCCCTATTGTAATAAATCTGTCTAATTGAAGAGGGGAATTTAAAAAATGCAATCAGGGGGATTATTTTATCTGATATGCATAAGGAAAAGATGTTTAAAGTCCCCAGACGACGATATTTCAGAGAACATACTTCAGTTTTTTATACGTCCACATGTGGACGTATATTGCCGTCGCCCCTGTCAGGGTGTGTGGGTGTGTGTGTCGCCTACAGGCCACAATTCTTAAGTGATCATCTTGAAACTTTACATACTTATTCCTTATACCCTACGGATGATCATTATTGTTTTTGGTGCATGCCCGACCCCCAGGGGCAGAGCCACGCCCATTTTTTGTATTTGTTTGTCGTCTACAGGCCGCATTTCTTAACGTATCATCTTGAAACTTTGCATACTTATCCCTTGTACCCTAAGGAACATCCCTATCATTTGGGGTGCATGCCCAACCCCAAGGCGCAGAGCCACGCCCATTTTCTTTTTGTATGTCTGTGTGTCGCTTACAGGCCACAATTTCTTAATCAATCGCCTTGAAAATTTTTCGTATGAATTCAGATTTGGATCCAATTTGGAATGATCCAGCATAGGGTTGTAGTTGCACCTATATATATTGGTCCATGTCCAACCCCAAGGGGCATAGCCACGCCCAATGTTTGTGTTTTTTGTCAACATGCTGGAATTCTAAATGGATTTTCTTGGAGCTTGGCATATTTATTTCTTATACTGTAAGGATAGCAACTATTTATTTTGGTGGATGTCCCGACCTCCCAAGGTTGTGGTACCACACCCACTTTTTTGTTAGTTTTTATCGGTAAATACTCTACAGGTTGCAATAATTAACAGATTTTGTTCAAATTGAGCGTATCAATCATTTCAGTAACAGGGTAGTACCGATTTTTATTGTTCCATATCCAACCCCCAGGGGCAGAGCCATGCCCAAATTTTGTATTTATCCTCTACAGGCTGCAATTCTGAATGGATCATCTTGGAACTTTGCATATTTATTCCTTATACCGTAAAGACAGCAACTATTTATTTTGGTGCATGCCCCGACCCCTTGGGGCAGTGTCACACCCACTCTTTCGTTAATATTTTGTCTGAAAATTTGGCAAAACAAACCCACAAACCCAACGCCTAGCCTTTTTTTACCTCCCAAGGTTGTGGTACCACACCCACTTTTTTGTTAGTTTTTATCGGTAAATACTCTACAGGTTGCAATAATTAACAGATTTTGTTCAAATTGAGCGTATCAATCATTTCAATAACAGGGTAGTACCGATTTTTATTGTTCCATATCCAACCCCCAGGGGCAGAGCCATGCCCAAATTTTGTATTTATCCTCTACAGGCTGCAATTCTGAATGGATCATCTTGGAACTTTGCATATTTATTCCTTATACCGTAAAGACAGCAACTATTTATTTTGGTGCATGCCCCGACCCCTTGGGGCAGTGTCACACCCACTCTTTCGTTAATATTTTGTCTGAAAATTTGGCAAAACAAACCCACAAACCCAACGCCTAGCCTTTTTTGCCTCTTGTCATATTACAACCATTTCATATTTCACTCTCTTCATTTTAAAAAGTACCATATCAATCAAAGCAAGAATGTGGACGTATATTGCAGCGTTAGTCATGCTCTCGTTTTAAATATCATTGATTACAATAGGGGTTGACATTCCATTTTATTAATTCTTCATTGGGGTTTTTTTTCATAATATTCTATACGGTATAAATTCATACCAGTATTCTTATATATTGATACGGATATGGTGATCAAAATCTATAGACATTTAAAGTTAGGTGTAGATTTTATTGTCATGGCTAAACACATTTATTACAATTATTACAATAGGGGTTGAATTTTATTAATTCTCCAAACGGCTTTGAGACATGTTTTCGTTGGGTTTTTTTCGTAATATTCTATACGGTATAAATTCATACCAGTACTCTTATATATTGATGCGGATATGGTGATCAAAATCTATAGACATTTAAAGTTAGGTGTCGATTATATTGTCATGGCAAAACACATTTATTACAATAGGGGTTGAAAGAAATTTTATTACTATAGGGGTTATACCGTGCAACTCCTATTTTAATATCAATCGCTATTGTAATGAATGTGTCTAAGTGTAGAGAAGAATTTAAAAAATGCAATCTGGGGGATTATTTTATCTGATTTGCATACGGAAAAGATGTTCAAAATCCTCAGATGACAGAATTTTCAGAGAACATACTTTACGTTTATTTAACTATCATTGATTACAATAGGGGTTGACATTCCATTTTAATAATTTCTCCAAACTTGTTAACGGATTTTAATCATGTTTTCGGTTGTGTTGTTTCATAATATTCTATGCAGTATATACGCTTACCATAAATCTATATATAGATATTCAAATGGTTATCAAAATCCATTGACTTTTAAATTTAGATGTGGAATTTATTGTATGGTAAAATGCATTAATTACAATTATTACAATAAGGTTTGATATTACAATTGGGGTCAAGTAAAATTGTATTACAATTATTACATTTATTGCGATAGGGGTTGATATTACAATAGGTGTTAATTGAAATTTTATTACAATTATTACATTTATTACAATAGGGGTTGTTATTACCACCCCCCACCCCTGCACACACACACCAAAAAGAGACTCGTGATAGTGGGAACCTAGCGTTAAGGCGGTCGTATTAACATCTTCTATTTCTATGTAACTACTGTAACATCTCACTGGTTTGCACGAATAAAATGAATAGTCGCATGTGTAAAAATAAAATAGATGTTTGAGTAACGTCCTTGTTAAATAAGTATGCCAATAATAATATATAATATAAAGAAGACAGTTTGTGAAATTGTATACGTATGTATAACATCAACGATAAATAAATTCATTATTTATACATTTGGATTATAACGTGACTTTTAAATTGTTTAATAACCAGAAGCCGTTGATGAAGGGTGTCCTCTTGCCAAGATTAATCTAGAAATATCTAATAAATTTATACATAAAATAGTCTGGTGATGCATAGGCGTACGAGCTCGATGAATGTTTGAAAATTTAACTGCCGCAAACGCGTTTTCCTGCTATTCCAGCACGTGATTACAGCAACTTCAATGTGGTCCAATATAGGCTACCTTACCTGAATCCCAAATCTCAAACAAACAATCAATCGTCGCGGGGTATGGGGGACTCGCAATCCCCGAGAAAACTTTGAAAATTTAACCTCCGCAAATGCGTTTTTCTGCTATTCTAGCCCGTGAATTAAGCAACCTCAAAGTTTCCAATAGGTTTGCAACCGAAATCCCACTCTATGTCCGAAAAATGTCGCACGAAGTAGAGTGGCTCCAGACAAAATGCTTTAATCCATAGTAAATTCAGTACAAAGTCGAGGTATCAGTACAAAGTCGAGGTATTCAATTAAAAGAAAAGTAAAATTAGTGTTTTATTAGATTTTGGGCACTTTATTTAGCCTACTAGAAGAAATAATAACATTTGTTTTCACTTTACCCGGCTGCCCGAAAGTTAATGGGGGGGGGGGGGGGACAGCCCACCCAGCCTCGTACGCCTATGGTTATCTGGCTATAGCACTGCGCGCCCCGGTAGAACATAGACCGTATTGCCTATAATGTTGTCCACCTATCGTTATCTCGCCGGAAAACAGTTGACATATAAAGTTTATGTCATATCATGCTTGTTATTCATTTTGGTATTATTTTTTTTAGGGGTGGATGGCCGAATGGTTAGCACGTGCGCGCTGTATCATACGGTCTGTCGTTGAGTCAACTAGCGTGGTTTCGATTCTCCGGTTGTACTGAAAAGGAGTAGGGTTTGTCTGTCCAACCTCATGGGTTTTCTCCGGGTCCTCCGGTTTCCTCCCACTGCTAAAGAACCCTTGTATAGACCAAATGTCAACCCCAATTGTAATCGATGATACAAAAGTTTATGGATTTTGATCACCATTTATTACAATTATTACAATAGGGGTTGAGAGAAATTTTATTACAATAAGAGTTATACCGTGTAACCCCTGTTTTAATATTCAAATGATTATCAAAATCCATTGACTTTTAAATTTAGATGTGGAATTTATTGTATGGTAAAATGCATTAATTACAATTATTACAATAGGGTTGATATTACAATAGAGGTTAAGTAAAATTTTATAAGAATTATTACATTTATTACAACAGGGTTTGATATTACAATAGAGGTTAATTGAAATTGTATTACAATTATTACATTTATTACAATAGGGGTTGTTACTACAATAGGGGTAACAGAGGGGTCCTATATGGTAAACTCCGCGCCTTTCAGGTTCTGCCCCCCCACCATAATTCATAGAGCCCGTATGCCTAAGCAGATAGGCAAACAACATTATAGGCAATAGATCTATGTTCTACTGGGGCGCTCAATGTTATAGCCAGATAACGACAGGCGAACAGCATTATAGGCAATAGGATCTATGTTCTACTGGAGCGCTCAATGTGATAGCCAGTATTTTGTTGACATTCATTGTGGGATGGGATTGCGGATAGCGCCCTAGATTTTGACCCACCATGGCCACCCTATCCACAGCTTCTAGATCAGCTACTGCATATACCTCTATCAATAAAATAGAATAGAATATGCATAATATTACTCAAACAGTATTATCGATAATAATTATTATTTACTAACCTCTCCACAACTAGTCACACACAACTAATAAGGGTGTCTGGGAACGAAGATCAACATCTAATATACACTGTAAAACAATATCCTGGTTTCAATAAGATTAAAGGGTGACTAACTCATTGAAACCTGTTAACGAATCATGTGATCCACATTACTGCACACACTATCAAATGCTTCCTCAGTTTGCATTATAACCCAAACATCTATATAAATAAAATCTGGTATGACGTGTAACTAATACACGTAGATTCTAATAGCCATAATATTAAATTTTACTAACATTGATTCGAGTACTGCCTGGGGGCTAACGTTCGGTTTAACCTAGGGTGATAACGCAGAATACTGCCCATACTGATTTAAAGGTTGGAGAACTGTCAACTACAGAGTGGCTGAACAGCTAAAACAGACAGATTGTCGAGGTATAGAAACGATTTAAGTAGTCAATCTGTTATATGTCAATTTCGTACAATAAATAAAAAAGGCCACAACTTTTTGGTCCGATTCCGATGAAACTTAGAATATATATTAACGATCAACAGATCTTGAAAGAGCTCGATTTCTGTCCGCACTAGACCGGAACGTCTATGTGAATAATGTACAAAGTCTGTGGATACCGTAGAGCCCACAATTAGTCCGATTTTGACGAAACATAACATAATATATGTTAAGAATCCAAAGATCTAGTGGGAGTTAAATTTTGGTCTGTATCATTCCGCAACTTATTGGGTTATAGCCCTTGCCTTTTATCTTTTACGAAAAATGTGAATTACACAAAGTTTGTGGGCCCCTCTAAAGCCCCGATGTAGACGAGGCTTAACATAATATTTGTAATTGCTGTGAAATGATTTTTCGTTTCCTGCTGGATATCTTGAAAACGGCCATACCATCCCGGATTTTTGACTTGCCAATTGATTTTTGTAAAAGAGTAGTCCTCAAGGTGTATGCGTGCCAATTTCGATACTTGTATCCACATCTGAACGATTTCCATGGTTTAAATCAGTTATCTGCTGCACTAACGTAACCTTGTTTGAACGGCTCAATAATTTAAGATGAAACTCCCGGTCTAAGAAAATATGTGAGGAAGTAATTTCATGGCTTGGGCCGAAAAGTTTATATTTTCCCATATCTTGAGGTTGTGACTGGGATATTGACACTCCTCCGTGGTATTTTTGTGGCACTATCCTGAACAGATGTGACACTTTCTTCTAGGCCTTTCTTCGACTTCACGTTGTGGGATCAATTAGTTCAGTCATCAATTAACTGACACTGGAACACCGTTTATGTTGTTACTAAGTTTATATAATTAAACAAATACAGCAAACTACAAATTTATGATAAAACTTTTTGAGTTATTAAAATATCCACAATCCGAGTTTAGCATACTTTATAACTCAGAGCTAACGGCTTAAATACTACATTTTGTATCTATCTCAGCCGAGAAGGCTACGATGTTCCCCCCTCGGGCCGCTCTATGATATCTGAGGTGAAATGAAACACGCTCTTTCTTATATAGAAATTGTAAATGCTTCAGCTATTAGGGCGGGACAATTACCATTTTTGGGTAAGTGTTTCGTATAGGCACAGTTTTCAGTCAACACTATTCTAGTTAATTGTACTAATCCGTGCACGAGATGACTTGACTATAGTACACTACTTTCAGCAATGGATACTGACATAACTGTCGGTAAGTTAGTCTAAGATAGTAGTAAAATAATGCAAGTAGTAGTAAAATAATGCAAGCTACTTCATTACCCTAGTTTTCGTCACACATCATGTAGGTAAAGAATTTCTATATTAAACAGAACACCTTTCTTAATACTAAAATAAACCCTATAGTATTATAACACGCCCCTTTGCAATGCGTTAAATAAGCACGGTTGCTTAATTAACGCCTATTATGTCAATGCAATAAATACAATACAATATCAATACTTAAAAGCTCTAAATATGTCCATCAAAATTTCAAGTCCTATTTCTAAAATATCATTATACTGATAAACATGCTACAATAATAATGTTTCACTGTCAATATAAATACTCGGTTATACGTTACAACACAATAAAATAAACACTGTTTCAATGTCAATAAGTTCACAGTTTCAAACACTGTTTTTGTGTAAATTTCGGTGATCTGTTAACACTTCTTTCATTTCCTCTTTACAACCATATCGGCTTATATGCCTGAATTCTTCTGTCTGGTTCGGCGTTGCTGTGCGTTTATATAAGGTTCATTACTTCCCATAATTGATCCGTGTACTTGCTTAATCAAACCAATATAAATAATTCAGCTTCTTTACCCTTAATTTATAACATTTATTTTAATCATATTCTTACACTTAAGTTTATTTAAAATTAAAATTATATTTACTTTATCAGAAACTCACCTGTATTAATCCTTAATTCTATTTACTTTTAACTGAATAAACACTGACAATAGAACTTAATCTGTCCCATTAATAAAAATTAGCAATATTAATTAGTACGTATCACCTTCAGTAATTAATAAATTAAAAACCCATTACTTTACTAACGTTCTTAGTATTACCTGTTAACAGTAAACAGTTTCATCTCATTGACAAATCATCTTCAATTAATTGGGGACATCTCACTGTGCCCCCTGCTATTGTTCTCATGGGGGGATTAATCAAGCAAGGGGATTTTACGTATACACTACGCATGACATATCGGGGAATTCAAAATTTATTCGTAAGCTAACCGCACATTCGAATCCAACGTTAAATTACCCAATTTAACATGGTATGTTTACCCATTTTTAACTCATTCTTTGAACTTATTCTCAGTTATACATTTTGTTATTACAAAACAACACGAAAATCAGGAAACCGGTACATTGCTTATATTGCAGGATCCCGTGTTTCCAAAACAACACGAAATAGTGGAAAACCCCGTGTGTCCTTTAAAACCTTCATTAGAAACTTATACCGACCCACACGCTTATCTCGCGAATTTAAAAAAGGCCATTCAGTTCTAAATTTACCTTGGACATTTTCCTTTACCCTAAACCCTACTCGCGATTTACAGGTTTATACTTTAACATAATTCTACTAAACACAAATACATTACTTGAACAGAACAGTTCAATCTCACCAAGACTTTTCGAAATGTTATTACGATCTATGCCTGAAGAAGAACACTTCTTATGGAGTTTTGCAACAACCGCGCAAAATCTCCATTTCCGAACTTTCTTCCTGTCTAGATCGGAGATATCATTTTTTTTCTTTTACATAGCTTTACCGTTTCAATTTTAGGATTCTTATTTATTCCTACGTTTACAGTAAATTACCCATGTTTAAACCTAACCTTATTTTGTTCCCTATTTACTTCGATTTTCTTAATTTAATTATTTTAACTTTTTATCGTCCTTTTTAACCTTCATTTTTAGCAAATCCCTAACCTCTAAACTTCCATTAAATCTACCCCTTGGTCTTTTTGGCTTTCCATGGTCAGTTTATTAGGAAATATGTACCTACCTAAAAAAAACGACGGGAAACTTCTTCTTGCAAGGATTTCCTCCAGGGTCGACATCCTTAAGTCAACGGCACCAAATAAAAATACCTGTGGGACTACGGGGCACCAAATAAACATAACTGTGACACTATCCTGGATAGATGTGACACTTTTTTCTAGGCCTTTCTTCGACTTCACGTTGTGGGGTCAATTATTTCAATCATCAATTAACTGACTCTGGAACACCGGTTATGTTTTTACTAAGTTTATATAATTAAACAAATACAGCAAACTTCAAAGTTAAATCTAGGAAAACTACAACATCTATTATAAAAACTTAGGCGTTGTTAAAATATCTACGGTCTGAGTTTAGCATCCTTTATAACTCAGACCTAACGGGGTAAAAACTACCGAGAAGGCTACGGTGTTCCCCCTCGCGGGGAACTAATCCGTGCACGAGATGACTGGACTATAGTACCCCACTTCCAACAATGAATACTGACATAACTGTCCGTGCGTTAGTCTAAGATAGTAGTAAAATAATGCACGCTACTTCATTACCCTAGTTTTCGTCACACATCATGTAGGTATAGAATTTCTATTTTAAACAGAACACCTTTCTTAATACTATAAAATAAACCCTATAGTATTATATTTTTACTGGTTGACAGAACGTAGAGTCAATGACAAGACATGTTCTTGAAGCAACGACCGCGAGTTTTACAACATCTAGCCGTTGCTAGGATAGTCAGAAAATTCCCGAACTTATACGTACGTTATCTCCCTTTACCACAGACAAGTGAACAATAGAGTTATCAATTCGAAGGCCGTGACACAAACGCGATGATATTTTCTATCGAGGAATCTGGGAGGCCCGAAGCTGGGTCATTAGCCAATCGAAATTAGTGCCGAAATAGGCAGGGTATTACCTGAAGTGCTTGATAAAGTGTACGGAATTAAAGCGAGATCACACCTGCTATTGAAGATGATGACAAGGTGGCGACGTTTGATCAATCTGTCAAAAACGTGGTTCAGACTGGGTGATTCAGCAGATAATGTATAACAGCGTTGCAATACATTAATTTGTAAGTTGATTTATTTAAATTTGTATGATTCAAGTAGCAAGGAAATTCTGAGAGACAATTAATGAAAAAATCATTTTGAATCTTATTTAGTATTGTATTTGAGTTACCCAGTGATGTTGTTGGATTCCATATCGCTTTTAAAAAGTTACAGTTACCTACAATTTCGATGATACAGGCTTTAAGTGTAGCCTACATCTACATTATAAATGACAACGGTCTGATTGCAAACATCTTTAAAATACCACTGTAAATTGAACTCATCATTCTTCTATTAGTGTTTACCGTCTGCTTTCAGTGATGGTGATATCGCAGACATGTTATTGTATTTTAATATGGTTAGCGCACGCGCAGTGATCTTTCTTGGAGGGGGGGGGGAATCGAAGTACCCGGTATAAACCCACGAGGTTAAGAAGGTATCCATATCTCTCCGGTTTCCTCCAACTGCTAAAGACCCCTACGCGCAAGCGAATTATGTAAATAAAATTAAACCATATGTTAGTCCCGAAATGACCTAGTTTGTGTCGAGTGGACGTTAAACCCCATTTCTCTCTCTCTCTCTCGCATCCATATCTCCAAGCCACATAAGCCCACACCAGATATCGAAACCACTACCACAAGCCAGAGGTGACAAAGCGCGACACTCTAAACTACTAGGTCACCCAAGGGATGGTAAAACGTAGCTGTTAGACAGATTCCATTGGTAATGAGATTAGTTACATTTTTAGGCGGTAGGGATACATGTTTCAGTATAAATCTCTAATATTACATCAATGCAAATGATTTCGGATTCTTCTGCAGTTGGCATATTGTCCAAAGTTTCAAAAAATATATTCCTTTTCAGCCTGCTTATCTAAAAAAGGAAAACAATTGATATTTTGAAAGATACATGTAAATTTTGTATATTTTTCATGAAATGGTAATAACAATTATATTTTTAAAAAAACAAAACAAATCCAGATTATGAGTATTTTCTAAGCGGTTTGTTTTCAGCCTGTCCAAAAAGGATTTTTAAAGTTTTGAACAAAAGGCCCATGGACCCTGAGATGCACCGCTGTACATAAAGCAGCATGTATGCTAAAAGAGCCATCATTTTAGGGGCATTCTTCTTATGGCTAATCGTACTGTACATAAAATAATATTAAAGGCTCAATACCATTCTTGTTGTAACTGAATAATATGTCCCAATCTTTATTCTGGTCAACAAATTGTACTATTTTACAATATTCCAATTAATTGATGATACAAATTTCATCTTAACACACCTAATTTAAAAAATTGGAAAAATTCAACTAAATGATTTGAAAAGCCTGGATTTAAAAATATTTCTGAACCCTCTGGACAAGTAAAATAGGATTTAATGGATAATTTACACAACAGGCAGGACACTAACACATCTAGTACTTAGAATAAGGCTATTTTTTATTTTCTGGAGCTGTCAAGCCAGCAAGCGTGTTATTGTCCCTTTAAATAGGTATATTGGTAGGGTTTTACATGACCGCTGTAGACCAAATAAAAACATTGTGCCTAATTCAGTAAAACTCATATTTATTTTTAATATATCACTAAGTATACCCTTAATTATAAGTTAAAAATCTGTCAAATTTTTACATCTAGTAAATAGGCCTACATATTCATGCATTGTTTTACGAACCGGGCAATATTCGTCACTTACTTTACCTATCTTTGTCTTTGACCGTAATATATTATTTACAATTTTGGTCCCCCGCCTTTCCAAGAAAGCAGGGGACTATTAAAATGGGTTCGTCCGTCTGTCTGTCTGTCCGCCACACTTTTTGGGACACATTAACTCTCCTTCTAATTGACCTAGAATGTTCAAACTTGGTGTAGGTGTTTATAAGGTCAATGCCTTGATGGAGTTCGAAGATGAGCATTTTCTGCTTAGGGTTGACAGAGATAAGCAATTTGATTGGTTGATGCTTTGGAACACAATAACTTTAGTTCTAATTAAGCGAGAGTGATGAAACTTGGTGTATAGTTTCATTATATCAATACCTTGACTAAGTTCGATAATGAGCATTTTATGCTCAGGGTAAGCAGAGCGATAAGCAATTTGATTGGCCGAAACTATGGAACACAATAACTCTCCTTCTAATTGAACTAAAATATTCAAACTTGTTGTAGGTGTTTATTAGGTCAATGCCTTGATGGGGTATGAAGATCAGCATTTTCTGCTTAGGGTAAGTAGAGATAAGCAATTTGATTGATTGATGCTTTGGGACACGATAATTTTAGTTCCACTTAAGTGAGAGTGATGAAACTTGGTGTATAGTTTCATTACATCAATACCTTGACTAAGTTCGATATTGAGTATTTTCTGCTCAGGGTAAGCAGAGCGATAAGCAATTTGATTGGCCGAGACTTTGGAACACAATAACTCTCCTTCTAATTGAGCTAGAATGTTCAACCTTGGTGTAGGCGTTTATGAGGTCAATGCCTTGATAGGGTGCGAAGATGAGCATTTTCTGCTTATGGTAAGTAGAGATAAGCAATTTGATTGATTGATGCTTTGGGACACGATAACTTTAGTTCTAATTAAGTGAAAGTGATGAAACTTGGTGTATAGTTTCATTACATCAATACCTTGACTAAGTTCGATGATGAGAATTCTCTGCTTAGGTTAATTGAGGTAGAATGTTTAAACTTGATGTAGATGTTCGTCTTGACTTAGTTCAATGATTAACATATCGAGCTATAGCTAAGCAGAGATAAGCAATTTCCTTGGTCGATGCTTTGGGACAAGATAACTTTGATTCTATCAGATAGAGAGTGATGAAACTTAGTGTATAGTTGATAATCAGTTTGATTGCTTGATACTTTTGAAAAAAAAAATGTGCGATTAATTAATATGTGTCATCTATTTATTTGGGGATTTCGGCGGGGGACATCAGCCTCACTGTTGGCTTGTATAATCTAAAGCTTGGCGCAGACGGTCAACTTTTCGTCGATTGTTGCTGCAATAGGCAACTACTGGCAACTCCGAGCAATATGCTTGTGTTAATAAAACATTAACAAAAGAAATTTCATACAACTTATATGTAATCTATTATATAGGCATGAATCAATATAAATAATTATAAGCTCCGAATATCCCCAGTAAAAGCCGTATGTGCGTTACTTTTATCATTAACTGACATATTGGACCCTTTGTCGTTATACAGATTACGATCATCCGAATGGTTTTGACTTTCATCCGAATGGTTTCAACATTAAAGTCAATGGTGGAGAATTACTATTATGTATGGAAGCTTATAACTACCATTCTTAATTTCTACTTTTCGCCTCTTCTAGTCGCAAGGTAGAAGTTACGACAAAATGTGAGACGACAGCATGCTACACAAGCCAAAATCGAGTCGAAAATAGAAAATTAAGAAATAAACACACCGCGATAATAGCACCCCCCCGTTGTGTCGTGACTTCTCCTTTTATTTTGGCTTAGTGTGTTGTCGACTTTCGAATTAGTTTTGTTTTTGTATCTATTCACGTCAGTAAAAAGACAATAATCAAAGGTCGCTAATATTGCCATCAATACTAGACTTTATCACACAGATCATTGCACGTGTTCAAATGTGACCTGGAATGTAGAGACTACGTTCAGGGACCATAATCCATAAGCCAATATCGAAAAGAACCGAGATCGTTTGGAGATAAGCCTATTTCAAGTATCGTCAAAACTGGATAAAAATTGTAACCTGTAGAGGGTGCACAAACAAATTTTGGACGGACGGACAGGGGCGTCGACAATATACGTTCACATGAAAATGTGTGCGTATAAAAGTGGATAATCGAGGCTTTATTTATTATCTTAACAACGGTAGCAATGACAATCGGAGCTACACTTTTCTTCGGCTCAGGGTGAAGTAATTTGACTGAACTTTTTGAATATATTCCCTTTTCATTATCTATCTTTTATCTATTATAGCGAGATCTGTCAGTCCTTTATCTAATGTTACATAATGCTCCTTTAACTAGACCTAACAAAAAGCAACTTTAACCTCATTTTATTTTCTAACGTGACTAAGATTTCACTTGTCTGTGTGGTACAGTTTTATATATTTCCGCTTTGTTTCGGTATCGGTTTGGTGATTCATATGAATATATGTGTACTTTGTACATGAAATGCACACCGTTTGTATAAAAAAAAACAAATATAAAATATGTACTATTTTAATAACTTTAATGATAAAAAAGCTTCGTGGGTAATAAACAGTTCTGAACGAAAACTATGACAGAATAGAATTGGTATTACTTTTTTTGTCTAAAACACACAAGCAAAAGAAACAAATGTAAACTTTATTTCGACAAAAGCAGGCCTACTACAGATTGTGTGTGATAAATAAAAAACTGTTTGGGCCATAACAGAACAAATCACTAAATATACACCGAGAAAAACACCCGAACGTTTATGCACCCATGAGAAGTTTATAAGTTAACGTATGCACCCACGTAAATAAATATATTCAAGTGGAAGCTGCAAGTGCAGCACGTAAAAGATCCGTTGTGCCATAGAAAGCATGTTTGGGTTATCAGCCATTGGATTGAGGAAAGTTTCAAAATCGCTGTGTCCACTGTCTGTATTTCCCAACGGGACCGGGACAACTCACTACAGCGGAATGCTCGGGTGTCAGTGAGACAGATGCGCGACCGTTGGGTCACCACTCCTCCGACAATAATCGATTATTGCAAAAACATGAAAAGACTGATGTCGTAAAGGATCGTCAACGTTCTGGCAAACCTCGCAATACGTCAGCAAGAGACGACACATCACTACTGAGACTCTTGGAACATCATTGTTTGCGCCAAGCACTATGTTAAAAAGGAATGGTCACCTCACCACCACCATCCTTCTGAACTGTTCGTAATCGGGTTAAATCGGTTGGATATGGAACTACGAGACCCATCAGAAGATATAACTGTAAGCGTCCACTGGTAACAGGTTAAGTATACCCCGGCGCATTTTATAAGATGCATAAAAAAATAATAAAAAAAAATATAAGATAAAACATTAACAATAAATACTTGGAAATTAGATCAACAGATTATATATTATAGTATAATATACGCATATCGAAATATATATATATATTTATAAACGCCTCTGAGGATGATACATATTATTTCTAGTAATATAATACCAACACAGTAAAACACAGCTCTCTATATAAGGAAACATTTTTAAATTGAAGGTTGTAATATAATACCAACACAGTAAAACACAGCTCTCTATATAAGGAAACATTTTTAAATTGAAGGTTGTAATATTTCCTAGATAAAAAAAAAATACCAAAAATTAAAAATACAAAAACAAGCGCTTAAATCAGACGTTTCTTCTCTTAAAATGTTAAAATACAGGATCCAAATGGACTATACACAGACCACCCACCTCCCGAGTAGAAATGAAATAAGGTTTAACGTCCTACTTTCATGCAGCAAGTCTTACCGAGTAGGAGCTGTGTGTACTCTGGTTTGATCATAATTCATATGGGCGTTTTAGTGATGTTTTTATTTTATGCCAAAATACATCTTCCTCGCCTTCATCATCCCATGAGATATAAGTAGTTGTTTTTAATAGGGCGTTCAATGACTTACTCATATTAACTGTTGCTATATTTTCTAGTAATACGACTACTATTGACTCTATACTCATATCTATAACTAGTCTCTCTGCTAAACTCATTTCAAACTGACACCATTTACTTCTAGCAAAATCATTGGACAAAACAACAAGAACTTTACGACTGCTCTCCATATGCTGTACAATATTATCCATGATAAGTCTTCCACCTTGAAAATCTCTTTCGTGGATACACAGTTTAATATTTTCACCCTCTTCCATGATAGGTACAAGATTATCTCTAACCCAGTCACTATCTTCTACACAGTACGCAACAAACACGTCATAAACATAATGTTTCTCTGCAATATCCAATAACTGCCCAGGTCTGTATCTCAACATATAAATATGATATTTAATATGCCAGATATATTTGTAGATAACGGACATGGTGAAAATAACAAAGATAAAGAAACACGTAACAGTTGTCACTGAAATAAAAAGTCCTGTGTTGTTCAGACATATTTTTTCAGTTATTTTGAGACAACTGTATCCCTTAGGATATTCAAAAAACTTGTCTGGTTCTCGATGAATCCACTGAATTAACCAAACTAATTCACAATTACACACGAATGGGTTGTTGCCCAATGCTATTATTTTCAGTCTTTCTCTTAACATTTTAGGCAACATTTTATTTGTAATAGTCTGAATTGAATTGTCCGCCACGTTTAAGTCTTGCAAATCAGTATTATTTTCAAAGAAATTATCAGGCCATGATTTAATTCTATTTAAACCAATATACAAATAATTTAGACGTTGAAGAAATTTAGCTACAACAATGGGTATACTTTGTAATCTACATCTATTTAGATATAATTTTTTAAGAGATTTCAGAGGGGCAAGCGCGACATTTAATTTTTCCTCATTTTGAACAAAATCATTTTTAGACAAGTCTAATTTTCGTAAATTATCACATCCATCGAAGGCATGTTCGTTCAAGTGATCAGTAGATAACTTGTTTATTGACAGCATCAGGGTAAGGATTTTGCTGTTGTTGAAAGCACGTTCTTGTATAATTAACGGATCTGGACTCCCTTGGTTTTGGATAGATAGCCAGGTCAGAGACCTGAAAGAATGAAAATAATCCGTTTTCAGAGAGACGATGGCGTTTTCATTCAAATTCAGGTGTTCCAACTTATCCATACAGTTTAAGTTTTCTGGAAAAAAGTTTTCAATATGGTTGCCCTGGAGAGTTATTTTCCTTAAAATTGGAAAAGAGGATTGGTGATCACAAAAGTTTGGCAAGTTATCCAAATTGTTGTTATTAATAGAGATGGATGTTAGACTTTTAATAACGCCCGCTACGATGGTCGAGATTTTGTTATTCCCTAGACGTAACACACTTAAGTATTTAATAGGTAGAAAGGTCGAAATATTAAACAATTTGATTCTGTTGTTAGACAAGTCCAATAAGTGAACATTAAAATTTGATAGATTTTGAAACACATTTTCGTCGATACTTTGAATGCCATTATTGTGTAATGTAATGATTCGTATCCTGTTGCTGATATTTAAAAACGTTGTTGAGTCGATATGAGGTAAATAATTATTGTTGAAGTGTATTGCTGTGATTCTCAATGGGAATTTTGGAATGTAGGTTAGATTTGCATTCTTACATGTTGCCGTGCGCTGTGAACATCGACACAATCCTGTTGAACAGGCATCTTGAGCATTCACAGATGGTAAACAGAAAACAAGGATAACGATGACCAATTTCTTACGTAAGTCAACCATCATAAAACAGCGCCTGGAAAATAAAAATACTTATTTTAGAGACGGTTGACACAAGCACTCGAATCGCTTACTCTGGGGCTATTACTTAACCCTAAAAAGTTCCATCAACATGTGTCCTCATCTGATTTGGAACGTGCAGGACTTGTGGTCGAAAAGCATTTCGATGGGGTTCTTCTTCGCATAAATTTTAAACGTTGTCCTGTATCATGTTTATAAGCTGACTACTGGGTATTGAGCATTCTAGTCAATAATACAGCTTTTCAGCTACAAATATATTTTATATCAGTATTGTAATACAATGTAATTGCATGACAAAACTTATGAAAGCTTATCAATAGAAGGAGATCACGTGGGTAAGACGCTGGCTCGCTAGTCTGGAGGTCGGGTGTTCGATCCCTGCATTGGCCGAGAAAGTTCATCCAGATTTTCCGGCGTGGTTCTCCCTGTCAGTGATGCAGGACGGAGGGGCTGACAAGGAAAGCTGTCTAGTCGTTCGGATGGGACGAAGAACCGAGGTCCGGTGTACACATTGACGTGCACGTAAAAGATCCCTTGACAGTTGGAATTCGATATAAGAGTAGGTCGTAGTGCCGCTGTCCGGGCAAAATTTCCCTCATAGCACACTGTATGGCGTATGCCCGTCTTCATTAGCCCAGTTCGGAGCAAAACAGTAGGACGTTAAACCCCATTTCATTTCATTTTATCAATAGAAATTTCGTTACTATAATAATATTATAAAAAGAAAACTTTGTGTTAGAAACTTAAATTTCAAGTTTCAACAAAATCGGATAAAAATTGTGACCTCTATAGGGTCCACAACCTTGATATACCATATTTTTACGCTATTTGAGAACGAACGGCAGCCATTTTGACTATCAATTTTGGGCCGATTTTCATGAAATTCGAACTCAGTCGTCCTTAGGGTGTAACGGTGATATAATAATACGTTATTTTTAAATCGGATAAAAATTATGACCTCTATAGGGTCCACAAGCTAAAAACGTGATTTTTCGTACAATCAGGGGCCATAATTCAGGAAGTTACTATCCGATATGCGCGAATATCGACAGGAACCGAGATCATTGGGTTATAAACTTACATTTCAAGTTTCAACAAAATCGGATAAAAATTGTGACCTCTATAGGGTCCATAACCTTGATATACCATATTTTTACGCTATTTGAGAACGAACGGCAGCCATTTTGTCTGTCAATTTTGGGGCGATTTTCACAAAATTCGAACTCAGCTACCCTTAGGGAGTAACGGTGATATAATAATACGTTTTTTTAAATCGGATAAAAATTATGACCTCTATAGGGTCCACAAGCTAAAAACGCGATTTTTTGTACAATCAGGGGCCATAATTCAGGAAGTTACGGTCCGATATGTGCGAATATCGAACGGAACCGAGATCTTTGGGTTATAAACTTACCTTTCAAGATTCAACAAAATCCGATAAAAATTGTGACCTCTATAGGGTCCACAACTTTGATATCCCATATTTTTACACTATTTGAGAACGAACGGCAGCCATTTTGTCTTGTCAATTTTGGGCTGATTTTCACGAAATTCGAACTCAGCCGTCCTTTGGGTGTAACGGTGATATAATAATACGGTTTTTTAAATCGGATAAAAATTATGACCTCTATAGGGTCCACAAGCTAAAAACTCGATTTTTCGTACAATCAGGGGCCATAATTCAGGAAGTTACGGTCCGATATGCGTGAATATCGAAAGGATCCGAGATCTTTGGGTTATAAACTTACATCCCACTTCTACTCGTTGCCACTGGCAACCTTTGATAAAACTGTCCTGTTTATTTTCAATACTTGCTTTAAAGTATCCGTGTTCATTTCTGATACACGGATGCTTTTATACTGTATTAGATACCTATCAAGCAATAAGTAGCGGACGTTAAGTCCGACCCAGATCGCAATTGATAACGATGGCTCTATACAATGCACAAGAATTATGAACATGAAACAACTAGTCAAAATCATAGTAACAAAACAAACCGGGGGGAACTACATGGCAGTTCAAAAACATATACAATGACATTAAATTAACATAACAACATATTACAAAAATCAATTATTATACATATCAATTGGCATCTATTTCATAATTTGGTTTGATTTATATTAATATGCAAAATATATAAATTAGAATATTGAATAATTATTTTAATTAATTGTGACGATAGAAGGCGCTGTTCTCTTGCTGGACACTTCACAGGCATTGAAAATAAGCAGGATGAAAAAAAAAACGCCTAGAAAGTCATAAACTTTATTACAAATAAATTTCAACGAAAGAACCATCCGCCGATGCATACTTTCACCAGGAATGACCCACGTTTCGCATTTCCTTTACACTACATTTAATAATATCGCAGTCCTCTACGCCATAGACAAGTTGTTTTGACGATGTGGTCTAAACAAACACGTGATTGTTTTACGCTCAGAGTATCATAGCAAGACGCGCGTGTAAATACTACTCAGGTCGTCTCTCCGCTGCGAAATCATTCTACCATGAAATGTAACGTGAGGCTCAGAAAGGGATAAATGAAAGAGCAGAAAGTAATTGTCACTTTTCGGTTGAAACGACTCGATAATAAATACTATTTTTCACATTTTGCTTCACAATACTCGATAGAAATGTGATGTAAGTAACTTATTAGCACCTTTCCTCGGTGTATCGGTGAATATCAGGACAGTTTTGGTCGGGAGCCGCCTCGGCTGGGCCCCTCGACCAAAACTGTCCTGATATTCACCGATACACCTCGGAAAGTGTGCTAATACCTACTACTTACATTTCACGTTTCAACAAAATCGGATAAAAATTGTGACCTCTATAGCCCCACAACCTTGATATACCATATTCTTACGCTATTTGAGAACGAACTGCGGCCATTTTGTCTGTCAATTTTGGGCCATTTTCACGAAATTCGAACTCAGTCGTCCTCAGGGTGTAACGGTGATATAATAATACGGTTTTTTTAAAAATCGGATAAAAATTATGATCTCTATAGGGTCCACAAGCTAAAAGCGCGATTTTTCGTACAATCAGGGGCCATAATTCAGGAAGTTATGGTCCGATATGTGCGAATATCGAAAGGAACCAAGATCTGTGGGTTATAAACTTACATTTCAAGTTTCAACAAAATCCGATAAAAATTGTGACCTCTATAGTGTCCACAACCTTGATATACGATATTCTTACGCTATTTGAGAACGAACGGCGGCCATTTTGTCTGTCAATTTTGGGCCGATTTTCACGAAATTCGAACTCAGTCGTCCTTAGGTTGTAACGGTGATATAATAATACGGTTTTTTAAATCGGATAAAAATTATGACCTCTATAGGGTCCACAAGCTAAAAACGCGATTTTTCGTATAATCAGGGGCCGTAATTCAGGAAGTTACGGTCCGATATGCGCGAATATCAAAAGGAACCGAGATCTTTGGGTTATAAACTTACATTTCAAGTTTCAACAAAATCGGATAAAAATTGTGACCTCTATAGTGTCCACAAGCTAAAAACGTGATTTTTTCGTACAAACGGGGGCCATAATCCATGAAGTTTCGATCCGATACATGCCAATATCGAAAGCAGCCGAGATCTTTTGGAGATAAACCTATATTTCGTCAAAATCGGATAAGAATTATGACCTGTAGAGTGTCCACAAACAAATTGTGGACGGACAGGGGCGACAACAATATACGTCCACATGAAAATGTGGGCATATAAAAACTTGTCTGGTTCTCGATGAATCCACTGAATTAACCAAACTAATTCACAATTACAGTAGAATCTGCATTAAGCAGCCACCCAAGGGAATTTTCACAACTGGCCGCTTAACGGAAGTGGCCTCTTAATAAAATCTCTGTGCTTTTTATGCTGACATAAATTAAATATTACGCTTGGATGCATTGAAAGCGGTGAATTTGACCGTCGCTGAATCTTGCGCCGAACAAAAATTCTTTACTGAAATCTCAGACATAATTTAACGGGAGTGGCCTCTTAATTTGAGAACGAACCTCTATAGGGTCCACAAGCTAAAAACGCGATTTTTCGTATAATCATGGGCCATAATTCAGGACGTTACAGTCCGATATGCGCGAATATCGAAAGGAACCGAGATCTTTGGGTTATAAACTTACATTTCAAGTTTCAACAAAATCGGATAAAAATTGTGACCTCTATAGGGTCCACAAGCTAAAAACGTGATTTTTTCGTACAAACAGGGGCCATAATCCATGAAGTTTCGATCCGATACATGCCAATATCGAAAGCAGCCGAGATCTTTTGGAGATAAACCTATATTTCGTCAAAATCGGATAAGAATTGTGACCTGTAGAGTGTCCACAAACAAATTGTGGACGGACGGACAGGGGCGACAACAATATACGTCCACATGAAAATGTGGGCATATAAAAACTTGTCTGGTTCTCGATGAATCCACTGAATTAACCAAACTAATTCACAATTACAAACGAATGGGTTGTTGCCCAATGCTATTATTTTCAGCCTTTCTCTTAACATTTTAGGCAACATTTTATTTGTAATAGTTTGAATTAAATTGCCCGCCATGTTTAAGTCTTGCAAATCAATATTCTTTTCAAAGAAATTATCAGGCCATGATTTAATTCCTTCGTAGAAAACTTGTGTATACGATGATGGGTGTAGTATTACTTTTGAGTATTCTGGACTTCGTAACGGAACGGCTGTGCTCACAAATCAGTCAGTAAGCGTTCTTTTTCACCAGCCCATAATGCCTCGTTAACGTTTTAGGTAGCCATGTTCATGTTGTGATTTAATTAAACGTGATAGATAAACCAGCACGCGGCAGTTTTCATCAACCTTTTCTTAATGTGTCAAATTTGACAATGAACCCCTCCCACGTGTATGGCGCTATTGCGTGTCGCATGTGCAGTTCAGTGTTTCTGTTGGGCGATAAGTTCTTCATCTATGAACATACTCCACTCGACACAAACCAGGTCATTTCTGGACTAGCATATGGTTCAATTCTATTTCAATAATTCGTTGCGCGTAGGTGTCTTTAGTAGTCGGAGGACCCGGAGACGACCCACGAGGTTATAACAATCATAATATGAAATGAACTTTATGTCAGCTTGAATATAGTAGTAAGTAGTTAAAGATACATTATGGACGATTAAATAAGAGCTGGCAGTTCTAACTATAATAGTTAAAAATTAGATAATGTAAAGGGAATTTGCTGAAAATTTCAATCAAATTGATCCACTCTGAACCGAGAATTTAGCGATTGAATTTGGGGCCTAGCCCCGATCATCATTACTAAAGTCGGTACGATAAAAAAAAAACACAGTCTCGATTATCCATTTTTTTATTTATTTAATCATGAATGAGCGTTGAGCAGCAGATCGGACCCTAATCAGCAAATAGCACAGGTTAGCGAAGACATCGATAGTTGATTACGGTCTGGATAAGTTAATTATTGATGTCTAATTTAGATAACATTTCAGGCCTAAAAAAAGACCTGCAATAGGCAGATTTAGCTCTTGCATAATGTATGTTTAAGTTGTTTATTTCATTGACATGTTATACAAACAAGACATGTGAAAATCAATATAAAATTACTAACATCCGGCCTAGTGGACCTATATGTCACTACATTAATCATTAATTAACATACACAAATTACTCAGCGTGAGTCACAAATTTAGCAAATTGACGCTGTAGATTGTTTATAAGGTATATTAATTTGTCATTATTTTGCATTTGTGTGAATTGTAAATCTGAAATCGCTTCATTAAACCAGTACTGCAGTACTGAAAGGAACAGTTTAAAATAAAATGTTTTTCATCTTCTGGAGAGTTCTTTGCGCACATTAAATGTCCGCAAATTAAATGTGTCAAATTTTGACAGATTCGATCTTCAACCTTTTCACCTATAAATCATGAAGGAGTAAAAACAGCATCTAAACTGAGCCAGGACTTATCACTTATCATCTGTTTGAAAACAATTGCAGTATAGAATTTATTTGTCGCGCATCGTATTCGATAAATATGACAATTCCTCGTTCCAACAGGGTTAGGAATGGACATGCCTTTTTGATCGCTTATCACCCAGGCTGTTTATATTTTGGTACTTTCTCCTCCATCTCGTACAACTGATCCAAGTGTAACTGTGTGTCGCGATACGTCTCAATATTTTGGACGATGTTACCCAACGTATGTCTACTCATTTTTCGACAACATTACTTGTGGTTTTCACCCTAAATTGTGTCAAAATGAAACAATGGTCTGGAAGTTGTTTTGTAGCTCCTGTTTGTATAACATTAAACGATTTACATACACATCATGGGGTACTCAAAGGAAATCAACTACTACTGTCTGAACCATCGTAAATTTAAAACGGATTTCTTCGATTATGATCAAACTACCTATCTTTGGTTATTGTAAACTTACCCGTTAAATAAAATCCATTGCACAATTTAATATCCCAACGAATACAAAAGTTCTCTCTTGAAAAAATTGACGTATTTACTTGTATTTTTGACTGAGTTAAGACAACATGGCTTTCCTCCCGTGTTGGACGAAACCATTGAATCTGTTGCGGGGCATGACAGCGATTTTGACAACCACGTGTTGCAATCAAAACAAAGCGTCCTCATTTCGATCGTTTGAGTTTGGGCAACGAAAAATATCAACTGAAGACAGTTTTGACCGTATTGTGATATGGTGCAATATTTATTGTTCATCATGAAAATATTTTCTTTATCAATTATTTCTTTTTAATTTATAGTAAATAATACTTAAATCACACCATAGCCCCCACCTTCCATAGAAGGCTTAATCTCGCTTTAACTACGTACATCTTATCAGATTGTAAAATATATTTTTGTATACATGTATATTGATGTATGCGTATGTTTTGTATAATGTTCTTAATGAACGTAATATGCAAATAAAAAGTTGAAGTTAAAGTTGATGTTGTAAACCTCATAGTCGTTGCTTCAGGAACATGCATATAGCCCCATAATTTTAAATACCCTGTACACGTACGTTAGATCTATCATATTATATATCAGATTAAAGAATTTCATGGGTAAAATTTAATACCCGTAAAACGAAATGTCGTTGTTTTTGTGTCGTATTTGTGTTCAAAAGAAAATTTATTCACCCGACTCGAATCAAAAATATGATTAAAACAAACTATTTCAAAAGGTTAAAGCTATAAATTTTACTAGAATGTTAAAGATAGTAACAAAATAAAGGAATACGGACAGTTATGCGTGTGAACGCCCAAACTCAATACCGAGCCGGGATTAAACAAAACTTGAATTGTCGTAAAAGTACCGCAAACCGTGACATTTCGTAACCTCTTTATACGAAATGATCTCTCCCGAAGAGTGACGTAATCGGCTTCCATTTTGGTATTTCTCCATGTCAAAAGTTTGTGGGAATTCAATTTTTTCAAGAAAGAACTTTTTTATTCGTTGGGATATTAAATTGTGCAATGGATTTTAATTAACGGGAGTTGATTTCAAACACACGGGTAATTTTGCAATAACCAAAGTTCAGTAGTTTGTTCATAATCGAAGAAATCCGTTTAAAATTTACGATGGTTCAGACAGTAATTTACCAACTGCATCCCGACGAGATAATGATAAGCCAACCACTAATTGTGGATGGCTTATCATAGATTTTGGTCTCCGCCCCTATTCGCAGCTCCTCAGCTACTGGTGTGGTTTCGAATCCCCGGTTGTACGTGACAAGGAGTAGGGTCGCCTGTCCAACCTCGTGGGTTTTCTCCGGGTCCTCCGGTTTCCTCCCACTGCTAAAGACCCCTACGCGCAAGCGAATTATTGAAATAAAATTAAAAACCATATGTTAGTCCCGAAATGACCTAGTTTGTGTCGAGTGGACGTTAAACCCCATTTCTCTCTCTCTCTCCTCAGCTACTGGATATACCCCTATCAAAACGATAGAATAGAATATGTATACTATTACGCAAACAATATTATCTATATTTACTAACCTCTCTACAAATGGTATAAGCACGTCCGTTGTGTTTCAGAAGTCATAACACACATAACTAATACTGATGTTTTGATAACGAAGATCAAGCTAATACACTGTATTTACAGATCATGTGATCCACATGTGACTTTCTGTTGTAAATACAATTTAAAAAGAAAATTATCTCACCCGTTATAAAGTAAAATAGCTTTAAGTAATTAGTCACAAATATTGAAGAATGGGCCACTAAAATAGCTAACAGTTTTTCTTTGTGGTAATGCGTTTCACATTTCTCATGATCTGCAGGACGCCAAGACTAACGTGCTCAAAGGAAGTCCCTAGAACAATCTACTACTGTGGCTGGAGCAAGACGGAAGGCCCCAGTAGTGGAACTATTTCTATCGTGATCTCGCAGAATACTTCCCATTCTGATTTAAAAGTGGGGAAATAGCCAACATCATCATGACTGAACAGCTAAAAAGGATAGAATGTTGAAGGGTGGATACGATATAAGTATTAAATCGACGAATTTGTTGTATGCCAATTTGATAGAATAAATAAAACGGGCCACCATTTTCGGTCCGATTCAGATGAACAAAGTTTGTGGGCCCTCTAGGGCCCTCAATTTTGTCCGATTCAGATGAAACTTAAAATATATGATAATGCTCAATACAAAATGACACACTGGTATGACTTTATCGCAATGATTTTTCGTTTCCTAAAGACGATCATCTTGAAAATGGTCGCCATCTTGGATTTTCGAGTGGCTAATGTTTTTTTTTTTTTTTAAAAAGAGTACCCACATATGAACGATTTCCATGGTTTAAATCAGTTGTCTGTTGCACTACTATTCACAGTATCTAGGATACGTAACCCCGTTTACCGATCAGTTTGGAACGGCTCAATAATTTAAGATGAAACTCTCAGACAAAGAAAATATGTGAGGAAGTAATTTCATGACCGGGATATTGCCCCCCCCCCCCGTTCCAATGGATTATTTTACTGGTTGACAGAATGAAGTCATTGTTCAGGTCGCGACCTTTAACCCGCCTTTCTCTCCCGAAAACGTGATTCAGTCAGGGTGATTCAGCAGATAATGTAGAACAGCTCAATACATTAATTTGTAATTTAAATTTTGTATGAGTCATGTTACAAAGAAATTTTAAGATACAATAAAAGGGACATTACGGGAGATTAGATAAAGAGCAGACGGTTTTCACTATAATAGATAACGTAAATAGAATATGCTGAAAATTTCAGTCAAATTGCGCCACTCTGAACCGAGATATTACCGATATAATTTTAGACCTACTGTCGTCGATTGTGAACAAACTAATGAATGGTTGTTATTAAAAACTTGCCTTTGTGTTTGAAATCACCTCCGGTTGAATAAAATCCATTGCACAATTGAATATCCCAACGAAAAAAAAGGGTTTTCTCTTGAAAAGTCAATGTTTTTGCTTGTATTTTTGACTAAGTTCATAACATTGTACATGTCACATCTTAATATATTGAAGGGGGCAATGGTTGACAAATTTTTACAAATGGCAATTGAAGACAATAAAACTAATTTGGAAACAAATGAATGTCAGTCTACTAAATTTTTATTCACAATGAATATATCACCGATTACACGAATACTCGTATATATAGCTTTTCACATTATCATCACCTCATTATTGTCAATACCATGTGTTAGTGTGTATTATATATATTTTAATAAATTATATTAGGCCCTACATCCCTGTCAATTATATGCAACCCTGTGGCTAATATTTATAAACAAGCATACTTTATTTCATAATTTAAATTGATAATATTTCATAACGCAGGGTCTAATCTCAATGTTCATTTTCAAAGTTATATGATTACCACAAAAACTATGAAAAAAGGCCACCGCTTCTCAATAATTTCCATATTTAGTTCACGTTCCGACTGTTCACGTCCATAATATTCCTGATTAAATTATATTTTTTGGGTTTATTAGATAGATACTGAAATCGAAACATTGTTGATAATGCCTAATTAATAATTTAGATAACTTTCAGGCCTAAAGAAAGACCCGCAATAGGCAGATTTAGCTCTTGCATAATGTATGTTGAATATAACCAGCGGCTGCCAGGCAGGATACGCCCACATTTTCGAGAGATGGATAGAGAACAAGCTAAAAAGAAAGTGATTTTTCCTATAATCAAGGGCCATAATTCAGAAAATTACAATTCGATATGCGCAAATATCGAAAAGAACCGAGATCTTTTGGTTATAAACTTACATTTCAAGTTTCAACAAAATCGGATAAAAATTGTGACCTCTATAGGGTCCACAACCTTGATATACCATATTTTTTTTACGCTATTTGAGAACGAGGGGCGGCCATTTTGTCTGTCAGTTTTGGGCTGATTTTCACGAAATTCGAACTCAGCCGTCCTTAGGGTGTAACGGTGATATAATAATACAGTTTTTTAAATCGGATAAAAATTATGACCTCTATAGGGCCCACAAGCTAAAATAGCGCTTTTTCGTACAATCAGGGGCCATAATTCAGGAAGTTATGGTTCGATATGCGCGAATATCGAAAGGAACCGAGATCTACCATATTTTTACGCTATTTGAGATCGAAGGGCGGCGATTTTGTCTGTCAGTTTTCGGCCGATTTTCACGAAATTCGAACTCAGCCATCCTTAGGGTGTAACGGTGATATAATAATACGGTTTTTTTTAAATCGGATATAAATTATGACCTCTATAGGGTCCACAAGCTAAAAACGCGATTTTTCGTACAATCAGGGGCCATAATTCAGGAAGTTACGTTCCGATATGCGCGAATATCGAAAGGAACCGAGATCATTGGGTCATAAGCATACATTTCAAGTTTAAACCAAATCGGATAAAAATTGTGACCTCTACAGTGTTCACAAGCTAAAAACGTGATTTTTCGTACAATCAGTGGCCATAATCCATGAAGTTACAGTCCGATAAATGCCAATATCGAAAGGAACCGAGATCTTGGGGTGATAAACCTATATTTCAAGTTTCATTGAAATCGGATAAAAATTGTGACCTGTAGACTGTTCACAAACATGAAAATGTGGGCGTATAAAAATCTTTTTTAATCGCATTCAGTCAGTGTTGTATTTGAGTTGACCAGTGATATTTGTCGGATTCCATATCGCTTTGTAATATTTAGTATATTTTCGCTCGCTTTTATAAAGTTACAGTTATTTACAGCACATATAAATGATAACGGCCTAATCGCAAACATCTGTCAAATACCAAGGTAAATAACTGAACCCCTAAATATGCATTATGTAAGATTTAGATAAAGAACTGACCGTTCTTGCTATAATAGTTCATAAATAGATAATGCGAAATGAATCTATTGAAAATTTTATTCAAATTACTTTGTTCTGAGCGAAGTTATCCCTGTATGAAGTTTTGACAAGAAGTGGCATAGATTGTGTGTTATCGTAGCCTCGACTCGCCATTTTAAATTAAATCATTAAATAGCGATCGTGTTTAATCCGTCAAACCTGTCATCCGATATCCTAGCGAATTGATTATAGGCATGGTATGTAAAAAAAATGTCTAAATAATAGTAAGATTTGAAGCCAGATAATGCATCTTTAATTGTTGATTGACTGCCAGTGAAAGCCTGTGTAGACAATATAGTTAAAGGAACACAACTCCACATAAGCGACCTTTGAAATTGGAAATGAAATGAAAATGAAATGAAATGGGGTTTAACGTCCTACTGTTCTGCTCCTAACCTGGGCTAATGAAGACGGGCATACGCCATACAGTGTGCTATGAGGGAAATTTTGCCCGGACAGCGGCACTACGGCCTACTCTTATATCGAATTCCAACTGCCAAGGGATCTTTTACGTGCACGCCAATGTGTACACGGGACCTCGGTTTTTCGTCCCATCCGAACGACTAGACAGCTTTCATTCTCAGCCTTTGAAATTGGGTGGCCACAGATCACCAATGGTGTCTCCATTGACTTTAATGTTAATTCAGGTCTCTTAGAACCGCTCTAACTTTTCCCAAATTTTAGTTGGGTAGAACGCGTTTTACCACATATAATTAGCAACCTTTTATTCAAAAAAAACGTATGCGATTCATCATGGAAAACTTGAGATCCTCAGATTGGAAGTAAAGACAAGTAAACTTACAACTTTGCGCCCTACATTTCAACCTAGCCAACCTCTTAACTCTCGTATCCTTACGCTTCAAAATCTCGAATATTCACCAAAATCTTGCAGAAAATGTATATTCAAGCCCTTTTCTACGATTCTACACAAAAACGTCAACAATGATCGCCATGCAAAAGAAGGGAAAAGGAGAGAAAGACTGAAATAACTTTGGCACTTTTTATATTTAATGACTTGTTTGGGGTCTCTCAGTCTACAATACAAAAAACAAAAACAGAAATTGTCTCAGGTTAATGACATAGTTTGTTGAATGTATGAAAGTAGACCTACTAAAATGCAACATAAACATCATTTTATATTCGAAACATGGCGGAAGCATATGCAATTAAAGTTACAATTATTTGTGTGGTACAGTTCGATGTATTTCCGATTTGTTTCGGTATCGGTTCAATGAGTCATGTGAATTTATGTGTAATTTGTACGTTAAAGGCCCGTCAGTTATATAAATTCCAAGATATAAAATATGTGCTATTTTAATAATACAAAAAGCTTCATGGTAAATGAACAGTCTTGTACCAATCTGATTAAAATACAGATCCTATTTCGTTTCGTTTTTTTATAGTTCAAAATTTCGTTTTAGTTGTCTTTACTACTCTAGGATCTGTAAGAGTTTGGTTGATGTGTGCGATTAGCCAATGAAACGGTCTGCTGTAGCGAATTCTTGGCCTGTGATGCACGGAACTGTGGGTATCCTACCAGAAACATCAACGCGGATTGGTTAATGAAATGTCTGACCTCAAAGGGTCAAAAGCCGCTCGCATGACCCCTGACGTGACCTCCCACTACAACTGGTCTAATCTTCATATAGAGGCCATCGAAAGTGTAAAAAAAAAACCCGAAACGAAATATAGATCTGTATTTTAATCAGATTGGTCTTGTATGAAAACGATGGCAGAATTAGCATTACTTTATTTGTCTAAGACACATAATTTGAAATAAAAAAA